GCTGTCTTTAGGGCAATCTGTTGTTGTTGTTGTTGTTGTTGTTGTTGTTGTTGTTGTTAAGTCGAAATATCTAGCACACAGGTAACACTCAAACTAAGGAAGAGCAGACATAGAGATCCTGAGAGCCAAGACACACGAAATGATGTTTGAGAGGGACTTCCACGGGCCAGTGGCGCAATGGATAACGCGTCTGACTACGGATCAGAAGATTCTAGGTTCGACTCCTGGCTGGCTCGACTTTTCATTATGATCACTATTCTATGCTTAATTCTTGGGTAAAATAATGTGTGACATCACGGATCGTTCTCGCATGTAGATAGACCTATGTAGACCATGTAGACGCGGTACAGTCCATCTGCTTAAAATAACTCGTGTTTTAGTCAAAAATATACACACAAATATACACATGAACTATTTTACTTTATTTTAAGTGTTTTCTAACTGTAGAGAAGCTGGTTCTCGTTGCAAAACCAGGTCAGGCAGAGAGTGCAGGCGGAGAGTGGAAGTGAAGTTCAGTGTATGAATTTTATGTTATACTAACAGCCATAAGGAAATCTGCATTCAGTTTTACCAAAATATGTTTGGCAAGGAGGGCTACAAAACGTGTAACCTAGACTGTGCCACACATATGTCAATCTCAGGAAGGACAGTTAGTGCCACAAAGACAAGGATCCTGAGAGTACAAATAAATTAAACACACAAACGCTATAGCACTTCGTAGGGCCAGTGGCGCAATGGATAACGCGTCTGACTACGGATCAGAAGATTCTAGGTTCGACTCCTGGCTGGCTCGTGTTTTCTGCCTTCAAACCTTGCATTATTTTTAACGTTAAGAACTGTTATAATGGGATATAGATCTTTTAATCAGTCGGTTTACAACAACTCTTATTTTAGTGAAAATATCAGATATAACGCACGTTTTCTTACCAATCGCGTTGCTTATCGCTACCAAGATTTGATGGATAACGCGTGTGACTAAGTTTTGTCTCCTGGCTGGTTCTACTTTTCAGCATCATTACTGTGAGGAACACTTACATAACATTACATAACTACATCATCATGGAATGTCACCATATCTGGATATAATAAAAAAGTAACATTTCACAGGACACCAAGTGAACAGTCTAACAGCTGGCAGAGTAGAAAAACAGGACCTCACCGTCAGAAAGTACTGCTGGTTTTATTTAATAGCTGGCTTTTCAGAAAATCAGTAAATCAGTCCTGATATACACACCACAGGCCTTTGCAGGACTGAAAACATCTTTCAGTTGCAGTTAAAGCTACTGAGCACAACTTTACAAAAATACTTTCTAAGTTCAGGGGTTCATGTAGGCTTATTTTCTAATAACAGTTACTATTATAAATTGCAATTATAAAATACCATTTACTCCATAGGCTATTTGTGTTAGGGCAACATTTTATATTAACATTGTGGGTGATCATCATTTGACTCATATGAAATGTGACTGAATGATAACAAACTTTTCTTAGTATGAGATATAAATACTTGATGTAGATAACCTTACTGAAGTGAGTTTGACCACTTAAGTAAATACCATTACATTCTGAAGCAGTCAGCTCACATGTAGTAATCGGATATAAAACAAATACACCTCTAGATGGCAGCATCATCAAGCATCAAAGCATTAATGCATTGAGAGTTGTAGTTGGTTCATTGTTCAGATGCTCTACTGGCTGTGGTTTAACACTAGAAGCTCTTCAGATGCATTTACAGAAACCCTATTTATACAAAGCCAGCATCACACTAAAAGCACAATAGTGAACACTTAGAGGTGCTGCAGATCCAGGGTGCAGATTTTTACCTGATGGTCAGTGGCTTACAATATTCTTTTTGTTAATGAAGAGAAATCTGTTTCTGCTGTATGTCAAAAAGTGGCAGCAGGAAGAGTAGGAATTCCTGCTGTGAGGGTTGTAATTTGGTGTGCAACTAGGGCTTGTTCACATTACACATACTTGTTTGACCCAATGTTAATGTGAAAATGTTCATTTGTGCAGCTTTAAAATGTTTACACGACAACTGGAATATCCGCTGCACTTGAATGCTACAGTTAAATTTTTCTCTGTTGTTTGAATAACCTGTAGTGGGTCATGCCAATCACACTGGAGGAAAAGTTGCTCATTTCAGCAAATACAAAGTTTATACATTTTTAATAGACCTTCAAAATGTTACACCATTTCCCAACCAAAAAGCTATTCACAGGACCTTGTGCTCCCCAAACACAAACAGACACACAAAAGATTTCTCTCATCATTCTCCATGATTTCTACCGCACTGTTCTTTACACAACGACACATTCTTTCCCTCCCCACTGCTTAGAACAAATCTATCTAATGCCTGTTTCTCAGGTGACAAACACAAAGTGCCAGGTGCTGGCAGGGGGGCACAACAATCGAGAGGTAGAAGAGTGTGCATGAGGACATGGCTGCAACACTGCTGACTGTGATGCTCGTGATCACTTACATCTGTGAGGGAGGTGAAACATTTTTCTCAGAAACTGCTATTTCATGACAATATGCAACCTCTCAGCTCTTATCTGCAATGAATGCATCTGTGTCAACCGTTTGCATAACAGCACTCCTGAGGAAATCAACAGCGTCTGACTTCCTGCAGAAAATCCGAGAGAAACGTGCATCAGAGTGTTTTCCTGGAGGCTGCAGTACAGAGGTCAGCGAGGCTGCAGAGCTGGTAGAAGTGGATTTAGGATATATAAGTTCTCTATCACTTGTAATTTCTTTCACATTTGCTGAAAGCTTTGGGTTTTTTTTTTGCTCCAATACACACATTATTTTAGAATGTATTCAGACCCTTCACATCTTCACATCCTCTCTGCCAGTTCTGATTTTTCAAAATAAATGTAAATGTCAGTAACTATAGACGATATTAACAGGAAGGCTTCGATTAAAAATGTTAGGGCAGCTGGGTCCCTGCACAGAGTGTGATACTATCCACGTGAAACCAGACATCATACATAATGACCATGTCCAGAACCTGGACTTGAGAAGCACTCCTTTGTTCAACAGGCATGAAGTGTAACTCAATCAAGCAAGTCACTCAGGCATTCACCATTACTGTGTCCTTATATACAGGCTTGCAGTCTGAAGACAGAGTGTTAAGAAGTTAGGACATTTACATTGACTTTGTTGCTTAGTGCACCTGCTGAAAATATCAGACGACCAGCATGAAAGCCAGCGGAGAGGTGGAAGTTGATCGACTAGGATTTCTGTCATGTTTTAGCACATTTGACAAGCATACCTCATGGATACTATTGGAAACGAGAGCCTATATTGTTGTGTATTATATGCTATGTTTGGAGTAAATGAAACCATTTAATTTACAGGACAGTTCCAGCCTGCTGTATAATGGAGGTGCCGCTCGGAAAGAGATAAATCTTGTAAGTTGTTAGAGTGTGGTGCTTAATCTTAAAATGATTAATGTTGTTTTTAGATAAATAAAAGTAATATCACACATGAGGTATATTAATGAAGCCATTACAACTCTGCCTAAAAACTCTTTTCTTGTAACAGAGACCTGCTAAGGGAAGCTGTAAATGAATGATCTGGGATGTAACCAAAAAGGAAAGCACAAGATGACAATGTTGTTGTTGGGTAAAGGGAAACTTGGGTTTACCAAAACCATCCAAGGACCAACTGCAACTTTGTTTGACTGCTTATCAATTGAAAACACGGAAAAACTTTAGAGGGGGATTTGTTGCAAGTATTTAGCAAAATACAAACGTATTTCTTTCCCAGGGAGTTCAAATAGTTAAATTTGTTGTATATTACATCTACCATTAACAGTATATTTGACCTGCAAAATAACAAATGTTAACAGCAAGCATCATATAAACACTTTAATAAAGATACAGTATATCATATTGATGTTTATTCATTTTGTATTGAATAGCAAATGCAGATATGTGGCGACTCTTGTGACCCCCTGTATGTTTTTGTTTTTCCACTCATTTACTCGAGATTGTTGTTTGTTTGTTACTTGCCTGTATCTTAGGACACATCTTTATCCAATCACTTATCCACTAACCACTGACAGTGTTTTTTTTTTGTTTTTTTTACATGTATAAAGATGAATTTTAGACAACGTGACCTAAATTAGCTATCTACATTGGGTGACAGGACACTGCCTCTTTGATGTTGCCTTCAAGTGCTTCAAGACACTTAACTCATAGTTGATTAAAAGAAAACAAGTCACTGACTCAGAAAAATAGCAGAGCTGCTGCCCTGACCTGTAGCCTGGAGTTTTAAATTCATATTTGTAAACTCTGGATGTTTGCTGACACAAAGAATATCTTTGTCCTCTGAGTAGTTTCTATTAATAAGTCAGCCTATAAAGAGGGCCACACGCAATTGATAAAGAAAGAAATCAGTTTGATTCATGTGGACTACTTCAAATAACGAATGTTGTTCTTTTTCCAGTTGCAGTAGTGAAATGCGTGTTGAAGGACTATTTCTAACTTTGAAAATATTCAAGGTAAAGTTTTGGTTCCCATAGTCACATGCTGATCACGGGCTTTGATGGTCGCTCTTTCCTCGCATATCTACCGGACAGATGACCAATTAAATGATCGAAGGTAGAAAATGCACAGACTTGAGATGTTACTCTTCCATTTTAACCTCTACCCTCATATCTTGCCATATTTCGAGTATGTGCTCCCTTCTATGCTATAATCTAATGTTATGCGTTAATAATTGCATTATGCTCAGGGGGCTACAGGCTACTGCCTCTTTAATGATGCCTTTAAGTGCCTTTCGTTTGTTCTTAATTTTATAATACAACACCTAACAATAAAGTGTACCAAGTAATATGAGTCAGTTTTTGGATTACATTTTATTACAAAATAAAGTAGCGCTAAGTAACTAGGTAACAGTTAACGAGGAATTAATAATTTAATTTTTAAGTCATTTTTAATTATCTTGTGGAGCTTCACGTTTGCCCATGATTCACTTTTCCCATTTCCGATAGGAGGGGAAGGCAGCACAACAACCGACGGCAGTAACAGTTACGACTTGATACTTAGCATTAGCTCAGAAGCAAGAAGCAGCACCAGTGCCGTTCAAACGAATTTCGTCTCACAATGTAAGTCTGTTATGGTTCTACCGAACGGTTTTTTTTTTAATTAAATGGTCGAAACTTGGTGAAACTTTGTCTAGCATACCTGCCTTCTTGGTGGTTTGGTGAAACTGGATCACAGAAAGAAAGCAACGCCCAAAAGTTTGCTGCGTTGCTACTAGCCCGCAACAAGTGCTAGGACGTTAGTTTTCGAGATGTAGCTAAGCTAGCTGTAGCTACATCTTGCTAACTTCGTTCAACACAAACTGTGTCGACGTTTCTTTGCACAAGCTAGGCTTTCCTCCAGGTCCCCGGTTTTCTGTTTGGTTATTCATTTAAAGACTAGTGGAACCATTTCGTTGTAAATATTGCAAGTGTAATCGGAAATCAATACAGTGTTAGCGAAGTAAAAGTAATGGTGAAAAGTCAACTTGGAACAGGAAATGGATTGATGGCTAACGTATCTGTGTGTTAGTAGTACGTAATTGTGTAATTAAAATGGTGCAACTAGAAGTGAGTGATGTTTTATTGTTATTATCTCTTGTTTATCGGTCTTTGGTCAAGTGAGAATGAAAACACAGGACAAGCCAAATCCTAATTTCGTTTGAAGGGCCCCTTGTTTTTGTATTTCCACTAACCTCCCCCATCCCTTCATCCATTCACACCCTACCACTACCTACCACCCTACAAAGGAAGTCTGTCCAAATAGTATCATATAGTTTAAAAAGAAGCCCTGATCGAGTCTGTAAATTACGTCACAGTATCTCTTTGGGTGATGTTAATCCTCGATGAAGATAGTTTCAGCTTTAAAATATCCAAGAAGCATTGTACCTAACTTTTTACTGTGATAAAGCAGGAGTTTTCAGAGCTTAACTACTTGGCTGCAGTCAAACTTGTAACCCAGAATTTGCATGTACTTTCATGAATAGAGGGATGTTTTGACTAAATCAATAATTTATAGTTTTAGAGGCAGGAGGTTATGATGTCATAATTGCATGAATCATTTAATTATAATTTACTACGTAAATGATCTTTGTAAAGATAAAATGTTGACTCGGTAATACAGTCAGTGAACGATTTGATATGATATACAATACAGTCACAGTACATGACACATGATCTTAACCGTGTAATTTTGGAGGCTTGACAGTATTTTTTTCTACTTCCACAATCCAGTAGAGAAACTACAAGTATTGACAAAGTCATATATCAATATTTTTCTGTCGGGATTGATAAACAAGTAGTAGTTGATATAGTATATAAAAAAATTGTGTGAAAAAAAATGAATATCACTTTCCGTAAGAGGGCTACTCCTGTACTTCAAGGAGACTGTATGTTTGTTTAGTCAGAGTTTGGATATTATGGTATGGAAAATGGATGTAGGACTGGAGACAAGCATAAAGTTATTTGGACCAATTCATTACACATTAACATGAAAAAAATGAACAGACAAACATCAAAGAGAAAGTTACTCCTATAGTACAGTGTGTAATGCAATTGCTGTGATTTGGGACTGTTGGCTTTACACCTGTGTAAAAACTTTACAAAAAGATAGAGTGAAATAGGAGATAGGAGTCTTTACATAAAAAAGTGATGCCCTGCTTTATTACAATTAGATGGACATGTTTGCTGGCTCCCGGTCTCGTATAGCCAGACCTGTCTCCACAGCGTGTGTCAGCACTGGAGAATTGATGAGGGGAAATAAACTGTGGAAAACTAAATCTTTTGTGCTCCAGAAAGTCAAACCACAGATTTATTTTGAATTAAGAAGATGTCTTATTTGTTTATTATGTTATTAGAATCCGCTAACAACCAACACAAGAACCAAGGTGGCAGTCAATAGACCTTTTCCATGACATGTTGACATGTCACTGCAGGGAAAGCACAGATGTAATTTGTAAGATAAATGATTGTTGCAGTCTATTTATGTCATTCACTTTTATGACCCTGTTATTGTACACACACTGGCTCACTTTGCATGGCTTACTGCAACGTTTAAATGGAGTGAAGTCATCATTAATGTTAATTATACCTGTGCTTTTTGTGCCATGATAAGATAAATCTCTTTTGTCTAAAGGTAAATAGAAGATATGGTCACCATGAAGAATAAAAAATAAGAATGATCAGACTGTAGTCATACAGTGAATTCAGTAAGTGTGAATGTGACCACAATTTTTTCACATTCTCTTATGTTGCATTGTGCTTGAATTAAACACAAAATACCTCACAATGACAAAACAAAAACAGAATTTCAAAAATTTTCATAAATTTATTAAAAATAAAAAGTTTTCAGACCTTTTGAACTTGAAATTTAGCTCAGATGTCTCCAGTTTCTCTTGATCATCTTTGAGATTTTTCTACAGCTTTACTGGAGTCCACTGTTGTAAATTCAATTGATTGGACATAATTTGGAAAGGCACACACCTGTCCATATAGGGGAGGTGAGAAGGGCCATGGTAAGAGAAGTGACAAGAACCCAAAGGTCACTCCGGCTGAGCTCCAGAGACCCCGTGTGGAGATGGGAGAAACTTCCAGAAGGACAACCAATTCTAAGCATCATGTCTGGAGGACACCAGACATGATGCTTACAGTTGAGGTCAAACAGTTAAATTTTGATTTCATCAGACCAGAGAATCTTGTTTCTCAGAGTCCCAGACTGCTTTAGCTGCTTTCACTTTTCACATGAAAGGATTCCTCCTAACATCTGGCCACTCTGCTGTGAAGCCTAGATCATTATTTCCCATAACTTTAAATCCTGGAGACATGGATTTAGAGTGTTTAAGTTAAAAAATTATTATCAGATACGATTATTCTAAGACTCACTCTGTTGGTGTTTTATGAAAAGAGACTGAACCATACAGTCTATGTGCAGCTGGAGAATCATAGCAATCAGATAAAAGCTGGATAGAGTTGCATATGGATGTTAATTCTCTGTGGAAGTAAGAGTCTTTCAAATGACACAAAATCATTAGACTCCATATTGATGACACTGTGTGTCATTTAAGCAAAGCACCTGGAACCAGGCTCATCCAATAAAATCCAGTTGTAGAGCTGCAGTGCATATTGTTCACACCTGCGCTTTTGGATCAGAAGTTCCAGTCCAACCTGTGGCACCAAAAGTCAAGGGCACTAATAGGTAATTAAATACATGCCTGTGTAGACATGGCAAGGTGTGCCATCTACAGTCATTAAAAGTCTTAGCATTGTAATTTTGGCACCTGTGCCCCCTGTAGGAAAAGTTTGATATCTGCAGTTGTTTTTTAAAAATAAGTGCTGTTTTGTGTGTATTTCATTTTACATTTGTATCACCTCTTAACTAAAACAAAAGAATTGATAAAAAAAATTAAAATAATTTTGCCTCAGAAACCTCCAGTGTACACTAAGTACTCAAAGTTGTGCCTGTAAACATGAAGTTCTGCTTTCATGAGGTCTTGCGTGTGTAACAGGATTATACTCATTTAGACTTTGCCCACCTATTCGCCATTGTTGGGTTTGGTGTTTGCCTTCCTTTTCTGGAAGAATATACGTCATGGATTGTTTTTCTTCAGGAAATGAAGTAGGTTAGTGTTACTACCATATATTGCAGTTTACATTGAGTGTTCCTGTGTTGTTGAAACCAAGGCAGTTGGAATGTAAGTCAGCTGTTGAATCACGCACCTAGACTTAAGCTGTATTTAAAGTTGGCTATCAGCTGCAGTCACCTCTGCAGTGCTGACAGATGTTTATACACTCTGGCTGACTGTGACATTAACACTCCCTCTCAGCCGCTCTGCTTTGTGTCGGGTGACTATAACTGGCAGTTAGATAAATAGGTTTGTTTTCTGACTTTTTATGCAGTAGTGTGAATCAGGATTGTTCAGTTATTGATACTAAGCCAGAAAATTGATAGTCCTGTATCACTTAAAGACTTGTGTTTGTAAATTCATAAGGATTTAGGAGAGAGTGGAGTAGGTAGTTGGCTAGAATATACAGAAGTGCAGTTTAGTCAGCTTCCTCATTCCTCAGTACCCACACTGACTTCTATTGTGGAACCAAATATACAGTGTGTCTAACGTAAGCAAATTTCATTTTAGTAGTTTCAGTAGTAATTTCACTTCGAACTAAGTAGTGCCAGATAAAATAAGAGAGGGTTTGTGAGTGTGTGGCTCTTTGTCATGGACAGTAGGTCAGTATAGGTGCTGATTTAATTTGATAAGGAGTATATGATCATTTTATTCAGTATATGTTTATCAAAAAGTCCTAATTATTTGGCCTGTCCTGCACTAATGTTATAAGCACTTGTCATTCATAGCTTTGTTTGTCATAAGGGATGATAAGGGGTGTTTTGAGCATGTTGTATATGCATTGGTGTGTGCAATAACTGTTTTGCATGCAAAGGAAATTACCCATCTGCAGCTGTCTTGGCTTTCTTTTAATGTGGGCTGAGTCTTTGTATATGTTGTGAGTAGCTACACTGGTCTGTTTACTGAGTCATAATAATCCCTTACAGTTTGATGTAAACGACTTAAACCAATCCTCCTATTTTCAGTGATCTGTTGTTGTCTTTCTCAAAATAAGTGGTGTCACTGTAGAGCAATGCGGTGTGGAGTCAGAGGGTGGCAGTAGCTAACTACTTTGTGTTCTTGTTTAGAACGCTCTTCCAAAGTTGTTTAGAAAAACCCTCAGACAATGAGGATTAAGATGCATGCTTGCAGTTTTAGATGGGCTGGGTGTATGCTGTTATGTCCAAACACAGTCATTTTTTTCTGATGTATTTCACTCAGCTCCCTATTTTCAGTTATTTGACTGTTATGAAGCATTGACATGAAGCATTAATCTTGCAGCAAATCTATGGGCCTCCCATTCATTCTTAAGGCATATAACCACCCAGTGTATTCTTGCTTGATAAATTAACCTCCATCCAGATAATATCCATCCTCAGTTAGTTATTATTTTGAATCCCACTTCAGCCACGAGACAGACATGGACATGACATATTAAGGAAAGTAAAAACAGAACAATGTGCTTAATATGTTCATTTATTGGCAGACAAACTAGAGCATGTGTACAGTATCAATATTCACATGTCCCACCTCTTCCTGCACGAAAACTAAACAGCCAAATTTCTCTACAGGAATAATTATACTATATCAGTGAGAGATTTTCAACATGTGAAATGTGAATTTTTGTGTACATGGTCAGACATTCTGTGGGTTGGTTTGGAGTCACCAAACTACTCTGTTTTGGTTTAAATTATCATGTAATTGCAGTGTCACTCCTGTTGGTCTTAAAGCTCCCTCAGATTGGTTTTGCTGTGTAGCAGACTTTTACCTCTGAGAAAGAGCCCAGCCTTTTCTAAAAAAAAACCTCAACATGTCCTTTTCTATACGATTTCACAAAATCAACAATTTATTTTATTCAATGATTTAATGACTAAAAATGTCAGCAATAATTGGCATCAACTGTTGAATACAGCATGTTAAGTGAGGTAGGATCAATTGTCATATACTGTGTGTTGTGCCACAGACACAGTGTAATGTGTTTGCTTTCATACTGCACCAAAAACAAATGTCACCAACTCTGGTCACTTGGGTGCTTGATTGATTAATGCCTTAACATTTTAGGTGGAGATTGAGTTATATGGTATGTAACAGATTTTCTTTTTTAAATCTCACACGAGGCTAATATTTACCTTTTCATCATCAGGTCAGCCCTCGGTCCAGAAGGCTCTGGCGCAGCGTCAGGCAACAAGCGCTTGCAGCAGACCCAGGCGCAGGTGGATGAGGTATGATATGTCTACTGGCTTGAGGTCCATTTAAAGCCCCAGGCTTTTATTTTCACACTGGTTGATATTAAATATAACCCTGTTGTTTAAAAAAAAAAAATCCTAATTCATGTATGTATTACTATTAAGAATACAGAAATTATTGATTTCTGATTATCATTTATAAATAAAGCTCTCACATGTGACCATTTCACTCTGCCCCATCTTAAAGTCAATTTTATAACTCTTAAACTGTATGTAAGTTCTACTTAGTCTACCTTTCTCAGTGTACCTCATTTACCTCACCAAGCCCGCTAACTCTTCTAGGGCTGGATATCTAGGGCACTGATCTTCCAATTTTGATTCCAGAAGTCCAGAATTTATTCATTTTAATTCAATTTAATATCAATCAGATAAATATGAATGTTAAACTGCTTCTCAGAATTTACCCTTTGAACTTAAATTTCTTCCAAATTCAACAAGTGATCAACAAATTTTTCCTTGAATATAAAATTGTCTCAATCGCACTGCACATTATAGGCTAAATTCTGATTACATTTGTGGTTATAAAACTCTGGACCAAGGATTAATTTTCTTTTGCAAATTCAAAACAATTAAAACAAGATACATGTATATTTTTTAGGTCTACTGGTGCTAAACATTTAAAAAAGAATAACTAAAAAACTGCACCACTTACAAGGGTGTCATCATTATGCATCATCCTTTTTAATGATCACTTTGAGCACAGACGGGACAGAAACTGTCTGTTCACTAATTCATCTGCACTGTTTGTGTTGATGAAACAGTAGCTTGATAATTGCAGACACCTTAGCTAGTGTATGCTTGCCTGCACGTACTGACTGAATAAAGTAAAATCCATGTCAAACACAAACTGAAAGCTCAAATCAGTGCGCAGAGTCCAGAGAAAGCCAGAGTCAGCTGACCATCCTGAGTCATGACAGTCCCGTAAGATTTGGCGGATCCACACAGACCGTAATTGTTCACTACACAGTTTACGAGGCTGTCATGAATCAGTGTGGCTAAAATAGCCAGCTATCATCTACTTTTCTTTTTAACTTTCTTTTTGTGCATGTACAGTGCATTCAGAAAGTGTTCAGACCCCTTCAATTTTTTTCACATTTTGTTATGTTACAGCCTTATTTCAAAATAAATAAAAAAATATTTTTCAGCTGATCAATCTACACTCAGTACCCTATAATGACAAACTGAAAACAACATTTAGTAATTTTTGCAAATGTATTAAAAAGGAAAAACTGAAATGTCACATTGATAAACTGAGCAAAAGGGGAGAAGGGCTTCACAAGAGAGGTTACCAAGAAACTGATGGTTACTCTGGCTGAACTCCAGAGATCCTTTGTGGAGATAAGAGAAAATCCCAGAAGAAATGTATTTTTATTTTTTTGTCGCCTTCCCCAGCTCTGTGCCTCAACACAGTTCCGTCTCTGAGCTCTGCAGGCAACTCCTTCCTCCTCATGGCTTAGTTTTTGCTCTGTTATGCACTGTCAGCTATGAGACCTTAGGTGTGTGCCTTTCCAAATCCTGTCCAATCAGCTGAATTTACCCCAAGTGGACTTCAATTAAGTATAGTGTAGAAATATCTCAAAGATGATCAAGAGAAAAGGGAGGCACCTGAGGTCAAGTGTCGTAGCAAAGGGTCTAAATACTTATGTCAATGTGATATTTCAGTTTTTCATTTTTATTAAATTTGCAAAGATTTCTACAATTTGGTTTTCACTTTGTCATTAGGGGGTATTGACTATACATTGATGAGGGAATTTTTTTTTTTTAACATAAAGTTGCAACATATAATGTGAAAAAACTTGAAGGGGTCTGAATACTTTTTGAATGCACTGTAGTAATAACTCAATTTCCATAAACTAGACATTCTGCATATCATGCAGCCCTACCTGAACCACTTTCAGCAAGTAACCACTACATTAACAGAATCTACTGTAACTTAACATTTAGTCCACATGTACATGTTCACTGATAAACGGCGTAAATGCAAAGATCGATCTTGAGATTTTAATAATCAATATTGGATCATTCAAATAAAAATTGCAATTATTTGAAAAATCAGTTCTTTCTTTTCTGTCAAATCCTAAACACTCCCCTCTTTCTCTCTCTTCAGCCACTCTCTGTGACTCCCTTGTTCCTTGATATCTGTCTCAAGCAGAGACTTGCATAACCCTTGGCAGCCGTGTCATGAATCACCACAATGTGGAATCAGTAGCTCTCTAATGCTTTACCTCCACATGTCAGTTCACATGCCAGGGAACATTCAGTGAAAGTCATTTCTTCTGCAGTTTTTAGAAATTATATTCAAAACCATGTCAGTGAGGCCACCAGGAAGAAATGTCTGCCAAGTCTCACTCGTCCCATGGGTGTCACTCTTAACCCTATTACTGTTCTGCCTCTCCTTCTCTCATCTGTGGCCCCCTTGGGTTTAGCCCCTCCTACCCAGAACTTTAACCGTAGCATGTCATACAAAGCCTCCAATTGGCTGCCTGCAGTTTATATAATCACTGTCTCCATAGTTATGTAAGGCCTGCATGGGCCAGTACACTCCTCTCCACACTGCCGCTCTGTCTGAGAGGAGGGGCAATAAGTTGGGTTTGTGGATCAGTGGAACATATAGGTTATGTGTATTGTGTCATACTGTGACAGACCTGCATGTCTGTCTGATTCTATGTGAACTCTGTTATTAAGCATGAGTGTGTGTATATATATATATATATATATATATATGTATATCTTGTCAGGAATACCAAACATTTAGGTCCTGTACAGCAAGACACAGGATTTTTAAAAAACACTGACATTCAACCAAGTATTTTATTCTTGTGTGTGTTTGTGTAGGTGGTGGATATTATGCGTGTTAATGTGGACAAAGTGCTGGAGCGCGATCAAAAGCTGTCTGAACTGGATGACAGAGCAGACGCACTGCAAGCTGGAGCCTCCCAGTTTGAGACCAGTGCTGCTAAGCTGAAAAGGAAATACTGGTGGAAGAACTGCAAGGTGCCTAAACAAAGTTTGTTCCAAAAAGCACATTGTAAATGATAATGAATTAACTCCATTCTACAAGTCTCTAAGCTGGAAGTGGTCTGAGTTATATTGGTCTTGACAAAGCCCATACCCTTAAATGGAGTTTCATGTTCATGTTTGTTTTAGCAGCATTAAAGGTAAATAGTTTGACTACACAACACAGTTTACATTTACCATTTATGATTGTGAACTGAGGTGAAACAAAAATACAGAAAATTGTATTGTTAACAAAATTAAAAGATAGTACAAATAATAAGTCTTTGCTTTTGAAAAATACACATCTTAATTCCAGTTAAAGTGTATAGCACTAAATTTACTGTACTTTTACCTCTTCCAGATGTGGGCCATCCTGATAGCTGTCATATTGATCATTATCGTCATCATTATTAGTAGGTATCAAGCCTGTGGTTGGTATAAAGTATGATCTTCTACATATAATTACTTTACAGAGATTTCAGTTTAAACTGGATTGTTGATGTTTATCTATATATGTTGATCTAGCATATAATTAAATTAGAGATGCTTTTTTTTTTTTTTCTAATTTACTGACTTTCTGTAGTAAAACAAATTATTTTATGTAAGACTTTCGTCTAAAAAGTTCTTACTTCATTCACAGTTTGGAATCAATCGTAAAGCAGTGACGGGATGGAGGAGTGGAGGAAACAATGAAGAAGAAGAAGAAGAGGAGAGTAGTAATGTGCATAATTAATGTCTCAGAAGAAGAGGTCACATGATCACTGGCTACTGAGCTACACAACATTTTTCACCTCCTGTATGGGGTCTTCATTCCTTGTCCTGGATTGTTGTGTGTGTGTGTGTGTGTGTGTGTGTGTGTGTGTGTGTGTGTGTGTGTGTGTGTGTGTGTGTGTGTGTGTGTGTGTGTGTGTGTGTGTGTGTGTGTACGTACACGTGCCTCAGTAAAGGATTGTCATAATACCAGAATTTTACCCTGCATTACTACACCATACCAGACATCACTAAACGCTTATTAGAGTGCCATGCCAAAGACAACAGATGATAAATACAGTCAAAACTCAACTAAAACCTATAAAAAGCACATACATACACACATATTCCAACCTCAGGACTAGAAGTGAAGAATATTGTTGTAAACTCTCCTCAACTTATATTTACTTTTTTATGTTTTACTGTATTAATATCCATTGATTTTGTGTGCCGGGCTAAGATAAGTGCCTTTGACAATATGCTGTTATGTGTTAGGTTAGATTGTAACAGTAATCCTACAGAAGAGATACCCGTTTCCAACATACACACATGTCTACTTTTTGGAGTTTAATGTCAATATTTCAATATTTAATAATTTCCCCTCATTTAAAAAAAATTGGTTGCTTGCTTTTCAAATTCCAGTTACAAATGAAATAGTGTGATTCAATGCCTTAATTCATTTATGCGTGTGTTAACTGAGTTCTCTGTATAATATCTTAAATTTAGGATTGAATGAAGGTCACTCAACAAAAAAAAACTATGCAGTAACACGCTGCTGAACCATCTGATATAATACCTGTCCCTGTCCATCTCCTTTTGAGATGGGTACAGTATAAACTAGTATGGGCTTGCATTTAGAAAAGTGCCTATATTCTAAAACCAACAACCGCAAAGTCTGAGTGTAAAAAAAAAAACAAAAAAAACAAAAAAAAAACAAAAGTGCTACACTGGGTCTAAGAAGTGGGGAGTTGTCTCAGTCAGGTTCTCCAGGATATGCCAGAAAGTTTTTCTCTGAAATATTCAAGCGCAACAAAGTAAGAACATTTAGTCTTAGACAGATGCCTTAATCCGTTTCTCCAATGGAGAGCAGCCAACAATACAGCCATACCTTATTGACCATATTAACCAGCCAGTTGAAGAGTAGTATTTTCTGAATGCTCTGTCTAAACAAATACTGTGCTGCTTGCATTAATCTGCTGAGCTAATTAATAAGTCTTCTGTTCAGTCACACTGGCATTTATCCAATCCCAAATGCAAATTGCTCCTTGTGTGATATTTTAGTTTTATTATCTTGCTAACATCAACTTTTTTGAGCATTGTTATTATATGTAGAACTAATCTTGCCGCTCAGCTCTCTGCTGCTGAGCATCATGGGTGTTTGAGTGTGGAGAAAAACAATTCAGTTTTGGGTGTTGGGCAACACCAATATTGGATGATTGCTTTCCCTGCTTTTGCTTCCATTTTATTAAAAGAAGCATGTTTTAATTAGGCAAACAAGTTGGGATTGCTTTGTACATTCATTTAATTGTGTCTGGCATTTCATCCAATCAGAACTGTTGTTGCATTTTTCAGTAGTGGATGATACATTAGTAACTGAAATGAACACTAACACAGGTATGTGCTCTTTAGACATTTTTACAGTATATAGATGTAGACATGAAGGAAATTGTGTAATATTTTTCAAAGGCCATTGAAAATTCTTTTACATGCCAGCCTTTTATCACAGATGTATGGAACTGTCATCATCCTCTCCTGTCTACACCACAAATTTGAGGCCAAATTACTTACAAATAAGTGCAATTCTACTCTTTTGCCCAATATGCCTTTTGCTTGAATAAAAGATTTAACTTAAATCACGAAACCTTGTCTAAGTATTTGTTTTCCTTGATCTGTTACACAATATATGTCAATGGTTACTTTTCCCAACAGAGACTGGCTGTCTCACAGATAGTCCTTGTTCAACTTTATAGATGATAAAATTATCCTTAATTCCTCTGTTTAAGTCTGATACCTCCTCACTAATTCAATACACACTGCAGAACTGGTCTCTGACTGTCACTGACACCAAGAAGATTGTATGAAAAACAGTTGTCACTATATGTTAGATAATTTAATTGCTAAAAACTTCCCAGGTAAAAACACCACCTGTTTACCTCAGTAGCTTTCTCCCTTGAGCCTAAAGACCCATTAACCAGCCTCATGAGACCCAGTCCCAACAAACTTTCCACAACAGGAGGACTAGTCATGTAGTCCAGCATCCATTAGTTTTCTTTTGTATGATACCTGCACTCGGTTTGGGCTCCTTGGTGGACCTTTGGGCTCCCAGAGGTTCTGCATGGCATGGCTGCCCTGTGGCAGTGGTCTGTTTTGCCCAGTTAGTAATCCAGCCTTGCCTGCACTATTACCACATGTCAAAGACATAACAGACATCACTATATCAACAAATTTTTTCAAGTTCAAATTTAATTTTTGCCATACCAACTGTAAAATAAATGTTAGAATTAAAAATTACTAAGTAATCATTTATCATAATCATGAATTATCATCTTAAAAATAATGTGAATATAATGTCAGAAACTTAAGTAGTCAAAGTCTTTAATTTCTCTGCTCAGCTGGACCTTGTAGTGGCTCTGTTCATTCATTCAGCAGCAGGGGGTGGATGCAGGAGCTTGTGAGTTGGTGCCTGCTCCGGGTTGTTGTAGGTCTGTTGTGTAACATGGAAATACACGTGAACCGCCAGCAAGCAGCGGACAAACTGCGGCGTTTAGGAACACCCACTGTCAGACCTTCTGCCCAATCACACAACATATGCAATATTCGCCTGTCCAATCATCGTGGAGTGGGCGGGGTTGTGCCGTGCCGGCCTCACGTTGCACAAATGTGTCAAACGCTCCTGAATAGATGACGATGTAGCTATATGACTGGGACATAATTAAAAGAATATATACTTCCAATACGGCCCGGCGATCGATTTCATATACTCTAAATTTTTGGTTATTGAAGCTGAATCACACACGGATTCGAAAAGGTAAATATTTCTCCAGAGCATCAATAATTTGAGGTGTCTTTAGCGAGTTGGCTAACTAGCTAAACTAGCTAACCACCTCGCCCACGGCACTAACCAGAGAGAACAGTGGATGTAAACAAATGGGATTTAATCGTTGTCTTGTATTTTTTAGTGCTAGTGTATTTTTGAGTGCACATTGTATAGCTTTAGCCGAATGCTTTACATCTCTAAACAGGAAAGTGTGACTTGGGTGTAAGCCGTGGTCAGTTGCGTGTGTTGCTACTATGTTAGCTAAACGATATGTCAACCGTTCGATTGTGTGCTGCACATAGCAAGTGGCACTGGGCTGGCTTCTGAGTTAGTAACAAACTGTAACTAATGTTCCAATTTATAATGCATGAATAACAAGCGCAGTTATCATATTCTCTGTGTTAACAAGCTATCAGTTTACAATATACGGTACTATTTGAAACGCCAGCTCATAAAACCACTCAGCTTTACAGGCTTGCCAGTGCCAGGATTTACTAATTGCATCATCTTATACTTATGCTATGTCACAAAATGTAATTTGTAGCTGGTCAGATGTGTGGCAGTTTACACAATAATGCCATTACTCAGTGATGAATGGCGGTTGTGCTTCAGTCTTTAGGTGGAGTAGTAGCGGTCTCTCAGTCTTAAGCCTGATCGTATGGTGGTTGCTGAGGTTATTGAGGTTACTGGGTTCATGTGGGGAGGGGGTAGTGAACCGTCAAATGAGTGTCAGGTTTGTTTTGAGTGGGGACGGGTTGTGGTCTGTTGTTGAAGTCTGAAAACCTTATCCTTTTCTGGTGGACGAACGCACGTAAAACAGGTATCAGTGTTGGCTTTGAATTATCTTTCATATGCATTATGTTTTTCTGCTTGTCTGTATGTTTTTTTAATTTGCTTTGATAATCTTGGCTTTTGAGGTGAACCATAAACCTACAAGTTCACTATACTACCTCAGCTCCATACATATTTAAAAGGAGTCAGTCAGCCCCTTTCGACCTAAATCCTCTTAAGTATTTTCCCCCATTAAATAATTGTTAACCTTAAGGTGTATATAGACTGCATTTATATATTTCCAGTGTGTATATGATATTATATAATATTGTGATTTCATAATCAATGTTGTGGGTATGCTAATGTATAGGATATACCAGGTTTTTACTTCCATATATGCAGGAACTGTGTGTGCACCGTTAATGTACTATGTAGGTATGGCTCTGTAGGATTTCATTCCACCAGGGACAGATCAAAACATGTGACTAGAGTTTGTCTGAAAGGCTCTTTGAGATGACAAGATCATTCCTTAATTGAGTTTCATCTAAGTTGTTGCATCCATATACAGTTGAAGTTGAGTGTCAAAGAGGAAATATTAGCTGTGTTTTCACTCCATGCACAGTGGACCTGCAACCACAACTATACTAGGGCTTGTCAAAAATTAAATATGATCAATTATTATTGTCATCTATCAACTTTCAGAAGAGTTAAATCGTGATGATCTGATCTTATTATATTATTAGCATACAACTCTGTTGTCCAAATTCAGAGCAAGCCAAATTAGTTATTTAAGTTTTTCTTTTATTCATATGAAGGTTTTGGTCTCTTGCAATATTTTACAAAACAGTGGTACAGTTTATGTTATTTTGAAACAGTTTATTTAATTTATTTGTGATCTTGCATAGGTTTTTGATTGTAAGCACATCAATATTTGAACATGTACTCATTAACACCTTCTTTTTTTTGCCATATTACCCAGTCCAAAAGCCTAGTAAAGCCAGATTGGTCAAATTTGTCAACTCAAAAACGTCCATCTAAGTTCTACTTTAGGATAAAGCACAGTCCTGCTCTGTTCAAAGTTTTCCTTCTTATTTTTAACACCCCATTTAGTAATTTTATTGTTGTTTTTACAATATTAATAGCATCTGTAAATGCATATTTAATTCAGCATTCATTTATAAATTTATAGACATAAAATGAAACACGACTTTTCATACATATGGGTTAGTTTTACTGTCAATCAATTTGGGAGTCAAAGTAACCTCCTCCTTACATTTGGATCACAGTGTGTTTTGGACAAGAATTCAAACTTTGCTCGCTGAGAAGTGCTGGAGAAAAATACAGATCACTAACCTGGCCCAGCACCTTGACCCTAGCATGGCCTTATCTGGTCTGTTTGTGTGCTTTACAATTAAGGCAAGGCCAGAGCATCATACCTACACCACAGTAACCATGTGTTTACGTGTGCATGTTGTACAGGCATAATGTCTCAAGTAATAGGAGGAGAGCTTATACACTTTGAATTGAGCAAGCTGATTATGTAATCCTGCAGTGACGACCTGATGAACGACACAGGATATTTTCATTGCCTCCTGTTTGTGCCTCTCAGTCTTGTGACAACCAGGATTTACCTGCTTGGTGCTGCTTGTAAACACGCCTAGAAACACCCACTTGCACACTGTACTTATTGTTCCGTGTCCACCCCACCGTTCAAACTACTTGCATTTAAGTTTCAGTTAATTAGTGGCAGAGGGAGTGTACAGAAGACAGACAGTGGTAACGCTCACTATTGCAGTATTAATTCAAAAATGAGGTTGTTTAATCTCTGACGATCATCTGCTCAACCTCCTCTGACAAACATCCTCACAGCAATATTTCTTCTTGGGTCACTATAGCAAGCCATTTCAACATTTAATCGAACCACACTCCTATCTGTAATTATTATTATATTATAAAATGCCAGGAGAGGGACCTGGCTGACACCCCAAATAAGCAAAAGTAGAATATACAAAGTCAAACTGTCACAGTCTGTCTCCCTCCATCTCTGTCTCTGTGTTTCTCATGTCAGTGTCTTGTCTCACTACCTCGTGCATGGTGTGGTAGCTGTAGTTTGTGTTTGTTTATCACTGGTTTGATTAAGATGATGAAAAAAAAAGGCTGGCAAAAGGCAGTTGATTCAAAAAAGCAAATACATTAACTCAGTTTAGTTTATAATGAAGTTTAATTACTGAGTCTGAACTAAAGCCCATTTGAGAGGGGTTAATCTTTTTCTGTAAATATTTGAATAAGCTGTGCCATTTCTAAGTGTCTGTTACTCACAGGGCTCCTGAGCTGCAGCCGACCTGCAGGAGAGACAAGGAAAATGTCTCTGTGGGCATCAGCTGTTATGCAACCGAGTATCACATAATTATTGTGCTGTTGGTGGTGTGTAATGATTGGCATTTGGCAGAGTTGTACCTGGACTTGGCAGTGCTGATGGATGAGATGTGTAAATCATAGATGATGGGAGTGAGTCAGACAGCAGTGAGTCACTATCATGGTCACATCGTCCAGTAATATTAGATAACATGGCAGATTGTGTTTGTTTACATTGCAAAGTTGAAAACATCATCTTATTACACAGAAAATTTTATATGTTTACATTTGGTTATGTTTGGGGTAATGCACTTTTTAAAAATTTTCCACCAACATTCTCTGGATCCTTTGCCACATATTTGACACGTCTACGTCTATTAATTTATTTTTTCATGTTTTTATTTTTTTATAAAGCTAGTGTTTTTCCCTGCCTCAATTGATATTTTCCATAGCAAACATGAGTGTAAGTAATTACACAAGTTGTGTTAGGTGCTACAATAAAAGCCATGCCTGGAACTTGCTCACCCAAATTGATTGGAGAAATCATTAAAGTTACATACTTGTGTCATAGTTAATATAAAATCTTTGAAAAGACACTTTTCCGTCTCTTTCTGAAGTTTAATTGGCAGTGGCATTCTTAACTCTCAGTGTGATTGATATCTGACATTGCATTTTTCCTATAAAATGAATGTTGATTTCTGATAATATTAACTGCAACAACAAGATACCATAAAGAATAGTGAGCTGCTGTATATCTGTAATTGCAAAATTCAGAAAACCTATAAGCAATGCAAATTTAGGTGCATTCATTAATTTCATTTCAGTTCTGAACTTTTTAAGGTATAGTAAGTAACATTTTATTCATAGCACAAAACAAGAATAGTGTGTCTGCAACTTAAGGCTTTGTGCAGGTTGTTTAGCAGGTATGGTGACTTGATATTTCCTCCTTAGGCTCTGAGGCCTCTGGTTTCTGGTTTCCAGTCCCACAAACTCGCACTCTGGGCACTACTGTTTTGAACAAATCAACTGCCTCACATTTTCAAATGGGAAAAAATGGAGGGCAGTGCTAGTACCATATGACCTGTGTCATAACACATTTTTTCTTCACCAGCCCTGAGGCGCCAGTCCTCTTATCTCTTAGCTTATCTATCTGCTACTTCTTCATCCAAGATCACCCTCCCTTAAATTAAATCCTGCAAACTTTATTCTGATAATGTTTCTTACCATCTCCCCTTATTTCCCTCTGTCTTGCAGTGCTCAAGGTAGACCCTTACATCCAACATTCAGCCCTGATTGAATGCCCACTAATTTATCGTCACCACATGGAACCCATTCCCTCTGTTGAACACATGAAGACCCTTCCCGACCACTTTAATTGGACAAATTAGTACTGATGTGTGACCAAAGCGCAGAGATGCCTGGGGGTGACAGCGGTCCAGATGGGGAGGAGCCTGCATTACCGTCAGCTGCAGGAGAAGGCGAAGGGGAGGAGAGGGTGACGTCAGGGCAGCAGGACGGAGGGGTGCAGTCCCAGGGCCTGAGGGGAGAGGAGAGCGGAGCTTCAGGTGGAGAAGTGGGGCAGGAAGATGAGGAGATGACTAGCGGTTCACATGACCTCTCTTCGTCAGCCAATCACAGCCCTGGGAGCGCCACTGGATCCACCTCAGTTTCAACCAAGAGGTATTTGCCTGATTGCATGTGCCCTGACTTTTTGACATATTCACGTCATACCACAGTGACCTCAGTGGCTGTCATATCTCCAAACAAGTTTTGTGTGTGAATACCAACGTACAGTGTTTTGATTCATCCATCTGAGACACCTTTTTAGTATGAATTTACTACAACCAGGGTTTTATTTTTGTAGCTCCGGCCCCTGCTTCTATCAGTTATAATGTTGTACTCACTAAAATTACAGTAGATTTGTCGTTCGGCCGATATTGGCCTATCACAGATATAGCGGAATTGGCGCATATATTCTCCGATATATCGATATCGGAATTATTTTACTACCTCATATTGGTATTGGCCCTGGCCCCAAAAATCCAATATCTGTTTGGCTTTAGAAGTTACCACTGATTATGGAGGTAAAAATGATCAGCACACCCATGATATTGCTAATTGCACAGGAAATTTTGTTTTGTAAACTGTGTTTTATATTTACAACCAACAGTTTGGGTTGTTATTTTACTCTGGCTTTGGTTTCTCTTCTAAATAACTTTATAATAAACAATAAAACCAATAGCCAGAGGTATAAAAATTAACAATTCATCTTTTGTTCGGCAGTGTTGTGACTGTGAGCTTTTCAGAAGCTGATATTGAAGATGTTGAAACAATCATTTAACACAAGGAAAAGTTTCAGTGACTCCCTTTCACAACTGCGTTACCATGCAGTGATTACAAAACGTTAGCCAAAATACCACTGTAAATGCCACTGTAAAATCCAATCCACCTTAAGCAGTAGCAGGTATTCATAAATTGATTTTCATTCCATACAGGTATGTGCTAAAACAAGGGGCCATCTGTGACCTTCCAGTCTAAAAACTTAAAAATATTGACTATACACCATTTGTGTTAGGTAAATACCATTGAAAATCACTTTACGTTTAATGAGCACCAAATCTACCGTGTGTGTGTGTGTGTGTGTGTGTGTGTGTGTGTGTGAGAGAGAGAGAGAGAGACCTAAATATGTTTATTGTCTCTGACTATGTAGCAGTGAGCATGCTGGCGATGGCAAAGGGCAGGCCCACAGAGAACTGATGATCACTGTGGCTGAGATGAAGAAGAGGCTTCCTTCAGACCAACGCAGTCGCAGCAAAGCCAGCACTGTGGAGGCCTTACATTATGCACTTAACTGTGTCAAACAAGTGCAAGGTAACCCAGATAAACTGACAGCTGGAAACATTTGTTGTTCTCAGAAACCGTCTTGTTTTTTTCTTTGATATCAGAGTAATGTTAGAACTCCCCAAAAAGCCTGATATCATACAGTTTTGTTTTACAGCAGCATGTGTGTGTTTTGTGTTGTCCTCTGTAGCCAATAGCGAATACTATAAACTGCTGATGAGGAATGGCCAGGATGAGAGGAGAGATACCACTGTTTGCACCCTGGAAGAGTTGGAAAGAGTCACCTCTGAACACACCCTTAAAAACACGGTATACAACACAACAACGCAAACACACAACACACAAGAATTGATGCTACTTCACTTTGTTGCCCTAATTGTGGCATACAGTTATCACACACGAGTCCCGACAAGACATAACCTATCGAGGATTTGTTCTGAACTGTTCTTATATCACATTTTTATTCAAGGCTGCATCACACACTCAAATACATGCATGCACGTGTACTTTTATTTTTGCCTCACGCCTGGGCGTGTGTGTGAGTGTATGTGTGTTTACTGCTTTGTGTGTGTCTGTGACTTGGCTCGCTTGTGTGCGTGTGTCTTTCCACATGTGCGTGTGTACGTCTCTATATGTCTGTGTGTAGGACTCCTTCGTGGTGGTTTTCTCCCTGTCGAGCGGCCGCGTGTGGTATGCGTCGGAGCAGGCTCCCAGCATCCTGTGCTGCAAGAGGAAGTTCCTGGAGTCGGCCAAATTTGTAGAGCTGCTCTTTCACCAAGACGTTAATGTCTTCTACGCACACACGGCTCAGCCGCACCTCCCACCCTGGAGCAACTCACACACAGGTTTGTACCACATTTCAGAAATTTTTATTCTATTTCATTTTTTTGTTTTGTTGTAAATTAAATGTAGTTCTATTCTAGCATATGTTGGCGAGGCAAATACAGACAAATACCAACTTACTCAGTCTAACGTTTTATGTATTCTTTAACTTTAGATTTTACTTATTTTAATTTTATTTTGTCTGCTTTGCAAATAAGTTTGTACATGATTATGGTTCTTTTCCAGTTTATATTTAAATACATATTCAACTTTATAACAGTGATTTTTACTTTTTCGTTGTAGTTATATATGAGTGTGTTCCTTTGTATGTTTTAACAGGCAAGTAACACACTTTTCTCTGTTCTTGGTGTCTACAGCAGGGGTTCTGTTTGACTGTGCCCAGGTCAAGTCATTCTTCTGCAGAATCAGGTCAGTATCTTAATTCTATTAAGGGACTTTCCTATTCTAGACTTCCCTAAATCTGTAATTTACACAATGACACAAACTTTCTTGGATGAGCACAAAAGATGTGAATTCCATCAGAAATGCTCTGCAGTTATGTCTTCTAATGGATGTCAGTAAAGCACAGCTGAAGGTCACTTTTCAAAGCTCCTCCTCATGCATCCTGACTATACAGCTATACACCTATAAAGATACAACAACCCAACTCAACAAGTTATTATATTTTAGGGGTGGGAAGGACCGTGAGGGTGAGATGCGCTACAACCCATTCCGAATCACACCTTACCTGCTGAAGGTGCAAGGAACAGGAAGCAGTGGGGGAGAGGAGGAGCCGTGCTGTCTGGCACTGGCTGAACGCATCATATCTGGATATGAAGGTACAGTTATCAGCATCAAAAACGGCACACAACACAACCAGCCCTGCCAGGTGAATAGTTAGCAATAAGCAATTTATGTAATTTTTTTGTATTTGGGTGCACTACTGCTAGGACATGCTGTGATGCATTTTAAAATTCCAGTGTTATTCTTACTGAAACCCACTCCAGAGATGTTTTTTGTGACAGTTGTGAATAATTGATTATTTTTACTTTATATTTTACTTTTACTTGATTTCACGACCCTTGCATACTCATGCATTGCATGTAATTTTTTCACTGAGCCATATATAGAGAAATATGTGCTTGCCCACTGTCCCACTGACAGTCCTGATGAGTATAATATTCATTCATGCAGCACCTCGGATCCCCATGGACAAGCGCATCTTCACCACCACACACTCCCCTGGCTGTGTGTTTCTGGAAGTGGATGACAGGTCGATACACACACACACAAACATGCACAACGTTGAGCTATTAAGTGGCGAAGTGCCGATGAAACTAATTTAACAGTTATTATCCACAGGGCTGTGCCATTGCTAGGATACCTTCCTCAGGATCTGATTGGCACATCTATGCTGACTAGCATTCACCCAGAGGACCGGCCTCTCATGCTGTCTATGCACCGGAAAGGTACGTGTTTAATGAAGGTGGGGACCAAAAAAGATTGTGGTTTAGGTCATTTCTAATAACTTTACAAACAGGCCATATTAGTATAGTTGGTAATTTGTCATTGAAATGGATAATTAATTGATTTGTAGAAATTATGAAGAGCACATTAACCGATCACAAGTTATTTGTTGAATCCAGAACTGGGATCCACCCAAGGGTTCACTCAGGGTTGTTTAAAGTGACCGATCAGTCATTCGGTCGACTACATTTTCATCCCACTCTTGTTTCTGACTTGAACTCTTGATGCCATGTGCAGTGTTGAAGTATGCGGGCCAGTCCCCATTTGAGCACTCTCCGGTGCGTCTGCGCTGTCAGAATGGAGACTACATCACCTTGGACACCAGCTGGTCCAGCTTCATCAACCCATGGAGCCGCAAGGTGGCTTTTATCATCGGACGGCATAAAGTCAGGACGTAAGGAGCAACAGCACACACACACAAAAGAGAATAATTAAAGTGTTTTATTCAAGCCTAAGTGCCTTCTATGTGCTCAAGTGGAGGGTTTGGTATTTGCGTGGTCTGTCCAAGAACCCACCTGCTTTACAGTAAAGTTCTGCAGCAGCATTGCAATTGCCAGAAACATGTTTAATTAAATGACATCAGAATAAAGATGACATCGCTGTGCTTTTGTCTTTGTCTGTAGGAGTCCACTGAATGAGGATGTGTTTGCTGCTCGTGCTAAGGAAGATTTTCCAGTTGCTCATGAGGAAATAAAAGATCTGCAAGCAAAGATCTATAAGCTTTTCCTGCAGGTGATTATTTCTGCCAAAATAATTAACAAGAATGTTAATCATTCAAATTAATGAAATATATATTATATTTATCAGAAAAGGAAATTGCAGGTTGTAGATTAATTCATACTAAGATTAACTTGCTTCTATGTATAACATTTTGAAAAGAATACTTTGGGTTTTCTTGGTTGGTGATATCAAAAAGAGTTTGTAAGACAAAACCTTATGGATGTCATTTGCCATCAATTTTGACATTTTGTTGCTCAACTAATTCATGTTTAAAAGAATATAGCAGACAAATCGATGTTGAAAATAACTAGAACATGCAGACCTAGACCACATACATGTCAATCTTTGTTTTTCTGCTTCTAATACAAACACACATAAACTGTAAATAGATTTATACTCACAAAATCCCTCCCACTCAAATGCAATTCAAACTCACCCTCATAGGCTGATTTTTTCTGTGATGTTTTACTTTTTTTGTCTATATGAGAGTTCCCTCACTTCTTTGTGTCGCTTTGCCTCAGCCGGTTCACAACAATGGTTCCAGTGGTTACGGCAGCTTGGGAAGCAATGGCTCTCATGAGCATTACATCAGCGTAGCTTCTTCAAGTGACAGCAACGGTAACCTATGGGAGGACTCACACCGGGAACCGGTGAGACATCACAGTGACATCACTTGTCAGGAAGCCAGTGGTAGCACATTTGCTCTTGCCAAGGTTGATCAAACTGATACACAATGTGTGTGTATTCTTGCAGATGACTTTGCAGCAGATCTGTGCTGATGTGAACAGAGTGAAGAGTTGGGGGAGGCAGGCTTATCTGGATCCCAGCCACAAAATTGCTCTTCTAGGCAAACCTGCCACAGGTAAATCAGTCCCACACATACTAAATATAAAACATGAAAACTATACTTTGAAATGTGCAAATATGTTTACATCGGCTAAAATGGCCCTTTATTCCCCCAGCACGTCTGCCTCCTGCAGCCTCCAACCCTGAAGTCAGAGATCATGAAGAAAGCAGGAAGCAAACTCACATTCCCTCTTATCAGCAAATCAACTGCGTAGACAACATCATCAGGTGTGTGGTGGTAGCATCGTTGTGCCACTCTTACATGATTTCAGTTTATTACGTGATAGAGCACCTAATTCCTTTCACATATTTGTGTTTGTGTGTTGCAGATATTTGGAGAGCTGTACAGGTCCGGCCCTTAAACGTAAGAGTGAATCTCATTCCCTGGCCACCTCTTCATCCTCATCCTCTACCTCAGAAGACGACAAGCCGTCTGCAGCCGGTGACACGGCTCAGGCCAGCGCAGATGGTATAACCACACAAACACACAGAGTCTTCTCTCATTGTTTTATAAAATTCTGTAATACTCCTTTCAAAAGCAACATGAACTGATCCTCATCTTGTTTCTCCTGTGCCCAGTTGTGGTGTTGGACAGTGAGGTGTCAGTGGGCCCTTCAGCTGCGGCTGTAGTGGGAGCGCCTCTGACAGATATCACAATGTCCACAAAGGCCATGAGTGTGATGTCAGTCACCAGCCAGTGTTCATACAGCAGCACCATTGTACATGTGCCGCAGCCTGAGTCAGGTACATAAACATACAGTTTCATCTGTGTGTCAGATCATGGAAGCCACTAAGATGCTCTTATGCAACTGTAGATCTGACATTTTAACAAACTGCATATGGGAGTTAAATCTTACTTAAGAAAAGCTCTTGATCACTCTCTTTTAGGAATTTATGAGCAGGGAGAAAAAACCTGTAAACCCTCTATTGAACATGTTTTTTTGTCAATGTTCTCTAACAGAGGCCACGGCACTGGAGGATGCACCAATGGGCAGTGAGCCTGCTGATGCTGCTCCCATCCCTGTCCGTCCAGCCCCGAGTCCTGCCACAGAGGAGCGAAGATTTGTTGGCCTCACCAAAGAGGTGCTGTCAGCTCACACCCAGAAGGAGGAGCAAGAGTATGTGGACCGCTTTCGCCATCGTATCCTCCAGAGCCCCTACAGTTCTTACCTGCAGCTGGACAACAGCTCGATGGCTCACTCCCACCACCCAGGTATGTATTTACTTGTTGAAATAACAAACAGCAGGTGTAGTAATGTTTACAAAGCCATCTGTTTAGTGAATGCTGATAAGATTTGAGTCCATCTCACCATAGGTGATTACCTACGTCCATTGAGTGCTGGTGGTTGGAACCGCTCTCGGAGAGGAAAGCCCAGACACAAGCGCCCCAAACCCCAGGGTTCCTCAGACAGTTATGCCTCCCCACCTGGCCCCCCTCGCCGTGTCCCTGACTCTTCCTGGCCTTCCTCTGAGTCCTCCCAGCCCCAGATGGGGGTGCCCTACAGCCAAACATCCCCACTACATGCACCATTCTTCCCTATGATGGTGACTCAGCCTGGCCCAGAGCAACCGCCCATGCCACAACAGGTGACTGGGGCAACTACTGTAGTCCTGCAGCCTCCAGACCAAACCCAGCCCAGTTACAACTTCAACATTATTCAGTCCAGTCAGAGCCTGCCAGACATGCAACCAATCCAGATGGAGCCCATTCAAAATCTGCAGAATATCCAGAACTTTCATACCATGCATCCCATAGCTCCAACCCAGACCATCAACCCTTACGTAGCTCCGGTCATGGCTGTTATCCTGCCCAACTGCCCGACTTTCAATGCAGGTTACCCGTCCATTTACCCACCGTCCACTCTCTCCATGATGCCCCAGACACCCATCACCATGACAGGCTTTGTCCCTGGCACTGCCCCCTTCCTGCAGCCTCAGTTCCAAGCCCAGCCAGGCCCCAACATGACCTCCCCGGGCGCTCTGCTTTGCTCACCCAGAGCCAGCTCCTCTGTTGGGGAGGAAGAGGAGACAGCCGGACCTCGGGCTTTATTTTCCAGCTCTCGCTCGAGTTCCCCTCTGCAGCTCAACCTGCTGCAGGAGGAGCTGCCCAAGCCGAGTGAAGGGCAGAGCAGCTCCGGGCACAACCACGCCGAGAGCCTCCACGAAAAACATGCCAACGAGGTGCGTCTGCTGCTGTCTATCAACCTTCAGCTTCAACATGCCTACTCTCTTACAACTTTGCTCTTCAAGTTTCAAAGAAGTGCATTTCCTATCAGTCTGTCAGTAGAGGGATTTTCATACATACCCAGTACAGTATATGTGGATGTACAGTGCAAAGAACTTCAGCTGAATTCTGGTTTAGTTCTGATCGTTAAACCTTTTCCTTGCTCAGGGTGACGCCCCTAGTGAGGCTGGGAACCATGATGCCCAGTCTACATCCAGTGAGCTGCTTGACCTGCTGCTGCAGGAGGATGCCAGGTCTGGGACCGGCTCCAATGCCTCAGGGTCTGGATCAGGGGAGTCTGGAGGCTCACTGGGATCTGGCTCTGGATCTGGATCCAATGGAACCTCCACCTCTCACACTGGTAAGAGGGAAAAAAAGCAAACACAGCCCCGTCATTTGACAATTTTCATGAAAATAATTCATATTTGTTAGTTATTATGACGTTTTTTTTAGCACATTAATAAAAATATTAAATGGTATTAATTATTGTGATGCGAAATTAGATAAAAATTATGTTTTTTTTTGGTTTTTTTTAATCATTGCAAAATTTCAAACTACAGTTGAGGACAGTGACTGACAGATCTCTTGATGGGTTACAGGCAGCAGCAACAGTAGCAAATACTTTGCCAGCAATGATTCATCAGACACATCGTGCAAAGCCCACAAGAGCCAGGAGGTTCCAGCAGAGCACCAACACAGCTTTGACACTCGGGTGGAGAACTCGATGTGGAGCATGATCCAGCACACACCTGAGCGAGTCATGATGACATACCAGATCCACACCAGGTACATGCACTGATACCCCTCTCAGTGCTTCCACTCCTGATAAAGAAAAAGAGAAAATCTGTGTTGTTAAAACATTTGATAGCTGTTGGCTTTGGCATCACAGATTGAAACGTGGCCAGAAAAGGAATGGGAACATGTTAAATGTTCAGTGACCCTTGAAACATGGAAAAATTTTACCTTATTTACAGAGTTTCTCTTTATGGGAAAATATGCTTTAAAAGCAATACTCTTGCATAAAAGAAATACATGAATAAAAGACGACACCTACTTTTGCAATGCTTGTTTTTGGAAGATAAACTATTAAAACCAAACCCATGTACCAGTACTAGCATTTCTTTCCATTTGACAGTCTCAAAGAGATTCAGCATTTACTTGTGGATTCAGCAGTTTGGTGTTTCAAAAGCTTTCAGCTGAATTCAAGTAAAATCACAATAAAAGACATCCTGTCGTTCCTTTTTGCGCCAGTCCAGCTTTTTGACGTTCAAATACCCTGTTAAACTTTTGAGGTCAAAGCTCTTTGAAATGGCCGGTAATGGCTTGCCATAATCTTCAGTTGCTTTATGACTCCCTGATGGTCTAGCTATCTCTCAAACCTGGATTACCATGGCAAATTGTGTGTCTCTACCTTTTGCTGCTGTCACCAGTGTCTAGTTGTAGCTGTGTAAGAACTCCTGTTTTAAAGCCGCCATCTCCTGATTTGATGGTGTAATGTCATCAGCAACTAGCAATAAATGAAGTGGATCCTACCACACACCCACAAACAAATATACAAGGGAACAGTAATGTCACTGTTTAGGCTATTTGTGACTACGCACATAGCAGCCAATTCACTTGGGAGAAGCAGCACACAGCATCAAGATCTACCTTCCTCACCTAATGGAAGTTCTTATACTACTACAGTAGAAATATAACATAACATTTATTCATTTGGCAGACACTTTTGTCCAAAGCAACCTAAAGTGAGGGACATCACTAAAGCTTCAGTGCAGTAGGAAATCTTAGCGTACTAAATACTACATCTATTTATTTTATAAGGGCAAGGAGATCAAGTAAAGAGGTGCAACAAATGTGCATAGTAAGTGCTAGTTAGGGCCTCCAGAGCCCCTCAAGTCTTAAAAGATCCAGGTAAATTAAGACACATGTGACAAGGTGAACATGAATGACACGGTATAGCAATTCTAAGGTTGTTTTAAGCTATTCCGATGCACGTACGCACAGGTCCGGTGTTGAATGTTTGTGGACGTGTGCCCAACAGCACCTCTAGTGAAAAAAATCCTAGGGAAATACTGAACGTGTCTGATCTTTGAATGTGAGGTGATCCTAATTCAGGAAAAAAAATAGTCTTTTGTCTATACTAGTCCCACATTTTTAAACTCCCCTTCTTTGTCCTTGTCTTATTTTACTCACAGGGACCAGAATGAGGTGTTAGCAGAGGACAGGGAGAAGCTTCGGGTGCTTCAGCCCCTCCAGCCTTGGTTTAGCCAGGAGCAGAGAGAGGAGCTAGCTGAGGTCCATCCCTGGATCCAGCAGCATACTGTCCCACAGGAGATAGATACACAGGTGAGGGTCTTCACACAGTCACCATAAACAAATTAGTTCTTATTGATCACCAGAACAACTTTTAACATGTCTTTGTGTTTTTCAGGGTTGTGTGACCTGCAGCTCAGGAGCAGCAGTCGCCCACTCCCCTCATCCACCTGCCCCAGATAGCTCATCCCTTTTGGAGAGCCCTCAGCAGGACTCCATCGGACCTGTGGTGGACACTTGAGAGACCTGGAACCCAAAACAACCACCAACACCCAGTTCACAGCGAACCAGCCCTGCCAGAGACCCACTCAGAAAGTCCCACCATGCATCTCTTCTGACCAGTCCAGAGGATTGGGTTCCTATGCTTTAGGTTGAACTTTAACTTGTTTTTTTTTAAGGTATTGGATGCTGGACCACGCCCTGAGGAGCGGAGGAGGCGAGAGAGACAGCATGTTCACTGGCATTTTTTCTCAGTCGGCCTAATGCGACCGCCTTTATAGGACCATGAATATTTTACCTCTCTTCTTGTGTTTATAGAGCCCCTGTTGGGGTTTAGTGTGTATTGAAGACTGACCAGATCCTTCGGCACCATGAGCCGCTTCATGCTCACTATAGGAAGAGGGTCCCGTGGTTGCTGAACATGAGCACTGTGTACCCGCACCCAGTTTGTTGGATGGGTGTGACTGGGTGACGAAACAAAGATAGTGCTGGCCCAGTTTGAGTATCAGAGCACACGCCTGACTCATCTCCAGTCACATGGCGTGCAGGTTGTACAGTACAACATGTGTGTGTACCACATCAACTCCTTCGATCCACTTACCATGGATGACACATAGTAGATTTTTTTCCTGATGGACACCAAGACAAAGACACATTTGCTGCTCTCTGTTTATAATGTTCAGATTCGAATCTTGTAAGTTACTTGTTATTGGAGTTTTTTCTCCTGTTCCTTAGATTGGTTTCCTCTTGTCCAGAGCATCAGTTTTTATGTTACTCTGACTCACAAACAACAGCAAACATGTTGATCATTTGAAATTGAACTTAGTACAGCCACATAAGTCCACCCCAGTACTTCAAACGTTCTGTAGTGACTCCTTTCCCCAGCCAGTATCCTGTCTGGTCATCACCCTACAGCACCTGTAGGTTACCTCTAATTGTAAACAGACACAGCGGGGCCCCAAATGTCCTCTGATCCTGTATTTACTTACTGATTGAATTTCCTCTTAGACTCTGCGTAGCTGTCTGTTTGACTGGCTGTGTGTTTGTGTGAAAGAGAGAGGCAGAGAGGAATTGACATTGATGTTTGTACCTGATTCAGATTGCAGGTGAGCTTGTGAATGTATGCGTGCGTGTACGCACTGACCGATTGTGAGCTGCTTCCTTCAACACAGTTGTTCAAGAGTGTAGGACAGACCAGGGTTTTCTACCGTTTTTAGATCGAAAGTATATTACAGTACCATGTATTTTATAGAAAATGTACACAAAACAAACTTCACAAAATGTATAAAAAGCCATTTGTCTTGATTTCAGGGACTGTTTGTTTGTGACACAAAGGAATGAATAAAAGAGCTATGACCTAACATGTACTTCAGCGTGATTGCATTATAAGCACAATACACAAAAAGTAAGTAATAGCTGTAGTTATACCCACTGTCATTCAGAAAAATCAAGGCTCAACAGAAAACTTAGAAAAAAAAAAAAAAAGCAGACATCAGCAATCAGGGCTTTTGCATAGGAAGAGTGTGATGTGTGAAGCACAGAGTAGGTTGATCCTGACATTTTGTAGACTTTGTAGTGTTCATTTTTTGTTGTTTGACAAACAATAAACAAAAAATTTAACTTAATTGAAAAATTTAAATTTATGAGCTATACTTCAGACCATGTGATGTGGGTGTGTAAATGAACACAAAAATATATTTTTGGTTAAATGAATAAATGAAAAAAATAATATTAAAACAAAATAAAGAAAACAAAAATTTTAACTAGCTTCTTTGTGGCTTGTCAAAATTAAGTTAATGTGGTGGGGTTGCACTTGGGTATCGGAGCAGAATTGCGACCTCACGACATACACAAGCTCAGCTGCATTACACTGTTTTATTCACTCCTAATGTAGTGCTCCTGTATTAATGACAAGATGACAAGGATTCACAAAAGTTCCCCTCCAGACATGTTCCAAGATATATAAAAATACTCTGTTTTAAATGATAATTTGTGTCTGATTCGGGTTTTCCATAAAAACAGTTCAGTTACCTGGTTAGAAAAAAAAAAAGTTTAGGAAAAAAAATGACACCTACACCTCCTCCCTAACTGAAAACTTCAGAATCATATACAAGTATTTTTCATTTCAGAAATGTAATTACTTGATACAATATGTCTCCTGCGTGACTGAAAATCTATTCTCAGTTTGTGTGCATTAGAGGCTTCAAGTTTTCACAGAAGCCTTTTTAACCACTTCTAAATCATACTTTTAGCTAAAAACTCCATTCAGAACTCAAAATGTTCAGAAACCTTCCCTCCTTTTTGGTTGTATTCATCTGAAATCACATTCATAGTTTTTTAAACAGTGACAGTTCAAGTTTCATGAATGTTTCTGGGCCTTTCCAGATTTTTATATTAGTGTGTATGTGGCAGAATGTTTGCAGCGAGTGGATGACATCACACACAGAGTGGGGAGAAGCTGTTCAACTGGTCGGAAAAATATCTGTTTAACTGGTACTTTCTTGTACTTTCAATTTTAAAAAGGTCACAAAAACTAAGGATTTTTACACCTTGATTCAGCTTCTTCCCAATCTTCATATATTTTTCTTTAATCAAGTTCAAGTTTCATGCTTATTTCAGGCCATTGGTAATGTAATGCAGTTTAGGCTACACATGCTTTTTTTCACTGCTTAAACAACAGTTTGCATTCTTCAACCATTTTCCTCATTGCAGTGGGATTGGGAGTTTGAAAACAGTCTTCTACTAGTTCTCAAACTCTAAACATACATAAGTTTGGACAGTGAACAACAGAAACATCCAAGAGCAGTATGACCAAAACACATTTTTGAGTGGAGGGGGATTTTTTATGTTAAAATTTTATTGTATTAGCAGCACAGCACATAGGTAGTTCCCTTGACACCAAGTATAAATGAGCCAAATGATGATAAACTGCGAATAGTTAAGTGAAAAAAGCAGAAGCCAGCAGATATTGTGAAGTGTTTTTGCTGGAGTTTGTACAGACGTTTACACTTAGTCCTGCAAATAGAAAAGATGTTCCACTTTCCCTGTAATATTAACATTTTGTTATACATAGTTAATGCAGTGGTTCTCAAACTGGCGGATGTACATGAACGGGACAAGAAATGTGGGGTGAAACGTGAAATGACATTGTGACTTGTCAAACACAGATGCAGCAACATTATGACTGCAATGATCATCACATAAACACATCAGACACATCCAAAATATGAGGAAGCTGATCCTGCTATCTCATTGTGTTGTGTTTTACATGCTGGCTCATTTCCACACCGTCATGACGGTGTGTGAAGGACACTTGAATAAAACAGAGCCATTGTTAATATTATTAGTAACACCTGTGCTTCTCCTAATGTAACAAGTCAAAATATCATCTGTGAAAAAGGGCTGTTGCCAAACATGTCTCCTGTCCACATTCAGTTCACAAGTAATAACATTTACTTTCATATTCAAAACGTCATTTGAATACAAAGAGGTATCTTCTCTTAACAAGTTAGTGTAATAACCAATTACCGAGCGGCAATAACACTTAATTTTAATACATGTAAAAAAAAAAAAAAAATTTAAAAGAAAAAGGGACTATTCCTCAAAAAAATACAGTCTCAGCATCACAATAAAATTTGTACATACACTGCTTGACTGGTCAGTTAGCATACAGTAAAGCCTAGAGGAAGCAGTACACACTGATATTAACACTTCAGTGATACTTCAGTCCAGTCAGTTAAGCCATGATGGAGTATGTGAGTAAACAGAGAAGAACAAAGTGGAAAGTAAAATATCAGTATTTTTTTTTTTAACTTGAGGCATAATGATTGAAGCTGTAATAACTGATCATTCATATTCACTCAGTCACTACTGAGTCAACTTTAACTGAAGTACAGTTTCTTCTTCTCCAAATCAAGGTTTGGCTAAAACTCCCCTCTGGGTGGTGCTATGGTGCCGTGCACAGTCGTCCAAGTCCAGTCTTTTTAGTTTGACAATAAAGTACAATAAAAGAAAACAAATTCTTTTTTTTTGTATCTATGTCTCTAACTCTTTTTTTTTTGTTTGTTTTGTTTTGGGTTTTTTTGTTTTTTTTTCTGCATTTCACAACGAAGCGTTCTGGCGACATTGCTTCTCTCTCTGTGGCGTCTCTCCTGCCAGGACAGAAGGCAGTGTGTTTCATTTGGAGCGCAGCCTCTGGACCAGCCAGTGGCTCCAGTTTCACTTTTTCCTCTCATTTTCTCACTTAGCAAACTTCTGCATCTCTGCAAGAAGCAAAGAAAAATTGAAGTTAGGGGGGGATACAAATGTGAGATAATTAATGACGGTTGAGTTTGGATGTGCGTGCTTTACCTTTGTCAAGATCAATGACTTTAGGCTGAGTGTTCATGTGGGCCTTCACTTTCAGCAGGTTGTTCTTGTAGTCTATAAATCACACAGGGGAAAGTCAAAAATATGCACACAGTCAAAAACACGCACACAGTTTCTCATCTAACTCACCGAATCTTCTTTCTTCCTCGTTGCACATATTGACTTCAGTCACGTCCATCTCAAAGTCATCCGAGCTGCTGTGACTTCTGCTGGACCTATCGCAGTGAGAAGGAGACATCTGAGTGTGTGTCTAAGGGTAAGACAGTGATAATGTGTGTGTCTTTGCGTGTTTGCAGCACTCACCTCATGGATGCCTGAGGATAATACTCTAAAAATACAAGAAAAGTAGATGAGACTCAAGAAATTCAATGCAGATCAACCTATTATCAGACTGAGATGTTGCAGTTCAGACCTTTGATTTTACGCCTGCGTGTGATGAGGATAATGATGAGGATAATGAACACCAGGAGGAGGAAGGACGTGAGGACGTAGCCCAGCGGCAGGAGAAAGTGGTGTCTCTGGTCGGGCAGAATAACATTGATGACTCGCGGTGATTCAGCCTTCGTGGTATCTGAGTACAGCAGAAGATCACAACAGTCAGCATTTCATTTCCTCTACTCTTCATATCCTCTCTCACAAACAGACCAATGTGTCATCATGAGGTTTACAAATGTAATAAACAAAACCAGACCTTACACTGAACAGTCATTACACACCTCGTGAGTAATACAAAAACATTTCATTTATGATAGCTCACTTACTTTTTCTCTTCACTCCCCTTTTGTGGCTTTGCAGATTTAGAATATTTGAACATCATAGTCTGAAACAATAAAACTGTGTGCAAAGCCTCAGTATGAGCAGTGCTTGTCCATTTTCCTCTGCTATGTAGACTGAATCCTTTCTCCAGTTTGACTTCATTTGTTGAGTAGTTCTTACAGACCAAATTCTCTTTCACAGACATAAAAACATTTTGAACCACGCCAGCAGCGTGGTTATAGCGATGGCGGTGCTGGTCAGTGCGTTCACTGCTTTGAGCCAGAATAAAATATCTATATTGGATGAATTGCCACCAAATTTGGTGCAGATATTCATCATACTTAGAGGATGACTTCTACTGACTTTGGTGACCTGCTGACTTTTCCTATAGTGGCACCAGCCGGCCAAAGTTTCTAATTATCCTGTGAAGTATCACAGCAACTTGCCCAGACATTCGTGGGTCCCTGGCAAGAAATGGCCATTACTATTTCTTCATTAAAGAAGTAAGACTTGATGTGTCACATATTTGTGTAGCAAACAAGAAAATTTTAGGAAGTTAAATCTTCACTGCCTATTGAAAATCTTTCATAACAGCATTTTTGTTACCAGTTTGTTTAAAAAACTATAAACTTAAACTTAATTTCTGCTAAATTTAATCTCGTCTTTGTTCCAAGGGGAATTCAGTGGTTCATGTTTAATGCAGTGGCGGACTAAATGTAATGCTTGGAGACTAACATGTACTCCTTGGCAGAGATTTCTCTCTAAGCCCAACAAAAATAATTTTCAGTCCGTGTCTGTGGCTGCGTACGTATTTGTTGTTGCACATGCATGAGCGTGTGTGATGCTTCCTAAGCTCTGAATGCTGATGACATTTCCAAGGCAGTGTTAAATAATTAGCTGGTTGGGCTTAGATCATGTGTGCGGTTCTGCTGAGTGTTAAGAGGCAGGGGGGCGGTGGGGGGGGGGGCTGGTTTCATTTTGCTTCATTAAAGAATAAAAAGTGCGAGGCGAGAAGCAGCAGCTGCGGACCTCAGACTCAACATATTTGAGCCAAAATGAGATCCAGACAGAAAGTCATGCTGTGATTTACTTTTCCTGGCAGCAAAACACAGAGAAGTGAGGAATAGGAAGAGGAGTGAAGGAAGGGCAGAGCAGGGGTGGAACAGAGGAGGAGAGCCAAGAGAAAGGAAGGGGACGGTGAGATGTTTCTCCAGAGGTCTGACTTGCAAAATGAAGCTAGAAAAGACTTCGTCCAGCGGTCCCAAACACAAACCTCCAACACATACACAGCTGCTTGTCTGCAGCGCACATGAAAACAATACGTTCATCAACATTGTAAATCCTCTGATTCTTCTTTTTTCTACTTTCAAGGCATTTTCTCCTGACTCGTACCCTGATGGGAACATATGTGTTTGTGTTTAGACTGGCTACCCCTCTCCTCCCCCCTTACCCAAACCACTCTGAGAAATAATAGAGATAGAGGGAGGGAAAGAGGGAGGGGTGACCTACATCTCCTCTTCCGTATTTCATCAACAGACTCTTTGGCCCCTGTCCTTCTTTCTCTCTTTGTGCATCTCTCTATCTCAATAAAGCTCTTCCCTCTGCCTGTCTACCTCTCAGTTTGTCTTTCCCTGTGTGTGACCAGCTGCCGTACAGATGAAGCACACTTCCTCTTGTTGTGCATAAACTACTGAAAAGACTTCTTTCTTTCTTCGTAAGGAAGGTTACATAGAAAGGGAGAAAAGCAATGGAAAAGAGCAAGAGAAAGGAACGTGATGAAAATAAACAAATCTGAGCACGTGGGACCCTCAGAGGAGGAAAAACAGAAAGAAGGCACGACAGAGGAAAGATGAAGGTGGGGTAAAAAAAAAAATAAAAGAGTGAAAAACTCCTCCAGAGTGTCAGGAGAGAGCAAAATCACCAGGGCAGCAGCTGGTCAGAGAGGGCAACAGATGAGCAGATAACTAGACTTAATAATAATAATACTACTTTTTTTATTATGACTGCTGCCATGCTAAAATAATGTCTGAGAGCACAGAGGAAGAAACTGTACAAATTCACTCGTGTGCTGGTGTTAAATCAGTTACGCATCTTGTCTCTCAACAAACGCAATTCCCATGGTGCGATTCTACTGTATTATTACAGCTCGGCGACTGAAGGATTAATTGTGTGGGCAGAGCTGGACTTCGGTCCAAAGACTGTATCCGAGAGATTCCACTGAAATGAGATCGGTCTTCTTGGCACACTCACTTATACACACAAACACACACACACGTACACACACACACACACACGTACACGCACACAGATGGGCTCAGCCGCAGGCATTTCTTATTTCTAAGCCTCTCTCAATGATTTTCCCACATTGATACAACTGCCATTTACGGATTTGCTTCAGTTACCTCCTGGAAACACAGACACATGCACCAGAAACTCTCTCATTCGCTAAGAATTCGAGGTAGGCAGCTGGCATGCCAACATACCATTTCCCCCACCCTATCTCTACTCTCTTTTTCTTTTCTAATAAGCACTCAGAGATTTTTAATGCAGGGCAAAGTGCTGAGAAATGTGAACTAAACTAATGAGAATGACGAAATAGTGGAGAACTTTTGGTCGTAAAGAGGGTGAAAATCGATGAGGGTGAGGTTTGGAGGAATGGGTCGTTAGGGAGTGTGTGTGGTTTCGGGGTTTCTGGCATCAGACAAGCTGACAGTGCAACAAAAAAAATCTCTCATGAAACAAACACAAAGCTTTAGAAATGAGGGGGTTTCTTTTCTGCTCCTCTCATCTCCTCTTCCTCTGGCGTTACTTTGCTTTGTGGAGAGTCTGAGGCCGAGACCAAACATGGCAAGGATGAATGAGGACGAAACGAAAAGTACAGAGGGGAAGAATGAAGGAAAGAACAGATGTGTGTGTTTTTTTCCCCTAATTGTATACACCATAGCTGAAATCCACTAAGTTATAAAACATCCTCTCTGCTAAAGCACTCACACTGACCTATAACTAGAGCAGGAAGGACGTTTGTGTTTATGTATTTGTATATTTGTGTGTTTGTGTGTGTGTGTGTGTGTGTGTGTGTGTGTGTGTTACCTTTGTCCTCATTGGGCAGTGCTTTGGCTGTCTGGGTGGTCTGAATCACTGGTGGCTCGACTGTGACCTGGAACTCTCTTCTCTCATGTAGGCCACAGTAATGATGGTGGAGGTGGCAGGAATACATCCCCTCATCTGTGGGCTGCATGTACACACACACACACACACACACACACACACACACACACACACACATTATACCGTATGTAATGTAATGTAATGAAATAGGCTATATGTATGCCTTCAGATGAATCCTATCAGGCACAACAAGAGTTGAGCATTGAAAAACATGAGAACGGACTGATTTTAGCATTTCTGCTCGGCTGTTCCTTAACGCTAACGTCAACATGCTAATGTTGGGTGTAATGTGTAAGCAGCTCTCATGAAAATCAACAGACTGTTATTACCATGTTACCGTGGTAACCAGGTTTTCCTTTGAACTAAGATTTCTATGATGATGTCACAAAGAACTTTTCTACATGCAACTTTGACACAGATGATGCTGTCACATGATCTCTCTCACCAGGCAACCAACACTTTTACTAGTGAGTACCAAATGAGAAGTCTGTATAAACTGCAGTCGGTTTAATTGGTAACATTTAACTTTTAGAAATGGGAACATGCTGTGGCTGTGCTCACAGAGAGAGGGGACATTACAACATAGGCAAATACGAAGTTCTACCTAGTAATACAGGTGCATACTTCGTAGAGAAGTACCTGGGGTGTGGGGGTTATGGGAAAGTGGCCCAGTGCACGAGATTGGACAACAAGGTGAAGATGGCTGTGAAGATTGTGAGGAACGACATGACCTGGGCTGGTAAAAGAGAGGTGGCTGTTCTTCAAAAACTCAGGAAGCTTGACCAAGACAAGAACAACTTGGTCAGGTTTGCCGAGCATTTTGAGTATAAAGGACATGTTTGTCTGGCATTTGAAATGCTGGACATAAATATCTATGATTTCATCAGAAGCAGAGACTTCCAGCCACTGCATCTGTCTGAGATTCGAGTAATCACACAACAAATGCTGGTGGCTCTGAACGCCCTCAAGAGCGTAGGTCTGTCACATGCAGATGTCAAGCCAGACAACATAATGTTGGTTAATCATCATCAGCAGCCCTTCAGGGTGAAACTCATTGATTTTGGTTTGGCTGCTAATATCTCCAAAATACACGCTGGCACCCTAATTCAGGCCATTGGCTACAGGGCCCCTGAAGTTATCCTGGGCCTTCCACTTGATGAGGCTGTAGATATGTGGTCTCTTGGCTGCGTTTTGGCCTTCATGTACCTTGGCCAGAACCTGTATCCAATAAGGTGTGCATATCAGGTAATGAGAGCCATCGTGCAGATGCAGGGTCTGCCTGATGATCACTTGCTGAAGTCTGGAATCTATTCCAGCTGCTTTTTCAGCAAAGACAAAGACTCCTCTAACCCTTCATGGAGGCTGAATACAGAGGCTGAATACATGCTCCTAACAGGCTCCAAGACCAGGCGGTATAGAGGCATTTTTGACAAGTTAACCAGTCTAAATGACATAACAAAGACTCGGCCAGAGGTGAACGATACCACAGAGTCTGAGGACACACAGGCCTTTTTAAGCCTCCTCAAACGAATGCTGCAGGTAGATCCTCAAAAAAGAATCACCCTCAGTGAAGCTCTGGGGCACCGTTTTATTACCATGAAACATTTTCCTCATGATGCAAACCCCAACCCTTACATGTCAGCAGCCTTTACGACGATAACAAAATGCCAACTGGAGGAATCATCAGTTAAATTCAAGCACTCTGTAACATCCAGTGAAGTTGTAAGTTTTAAAGGAGAATCCATTTTTAGTTCGGATGACTCACTTTCATCTATCTGATGAAGAAACTGCTTCTTGCCCGAGTGATGAACGACCACCCACACGTAGCTTAGATGAAGCCAAAACCACAAATGATGGAACCCCAGCCACAGCTGACAGGACCGCTAGAGACAACAACAAGAGACCACTGGAGAAAGCTGGCTTAGATGACGCCACTGCTGCTGAGACCAATCAGAAACCACTTCACTTGAATGAGGCAACTTCACCTGCCTCTGATCTCCATGATTCTGCTGGGGACAGCAGGAGCACCGATGAAAGAACCAAAGGATTTGTCAAAGTCAAAACAAAGAGAATGTTTTTGAAGAGGATTCGACGATTCTTCTCACAGCTGATCAAGACTACAAGTTGATGCAGAGTAAACGTTATTGAAAAAAGACACACCACACTTGAATAAAAATATATTATGGGCAGCACAGCTGCTGCACTCACCTGAAATCTCAAGTACTGCACTAATTTGCCCCTAGGCCTCCTGTTTTCTGTTAAATTATGGTAACTGTGGCTGGTAAAGTCATGTAGCTCCAGGCATCCAGCAACAACCACCACTAGTTTCTTCTCCTTGATTGTAGGAACTACAATGATGGAGTAGTAACTGTAAACTTTGTCGTCTCAACCACAGAAGGCCCACCTCTTAATTCATCGGATTGGACAATAGGAAAAGAAACATAAATGACATTGGGCCCTTCTCTGTTTTTTCAACTAGAGCCACTCAGAGCACTCCTGCAAAACCGCAGGTATGCTGTGCAGCAAGCAACAGGGCACACAAACAGTGTGCAAAACACTTAGTGCCTATAGAAAACAACTGGATATACCATGCAATGGATACTACTTTTTCATGCCATAGGCCTTTTTCACAGCAGACATTTCAACTAGTCATAGTAGAAAGGAAACAGGTGTGTTAGTCAAAAAGCCCTGAAGACGATGATGTTGATGACACTGAGGCTGCACAGTAAGAGGGCTGTGTTGAATCTGTCTTTCTGTGTAGAGTTTAAATGTTCTTCTAATGTCAGCATGTCTTTATTCTGGGTGCTCTAGTTTCATCCCACAGTTCAAAGGAATAACAGGTTAGGTAACTGACGACTTTAAATTTCCTGTAGTTGTGAATGTATGTCTATTTACAAAAACAATTAATAATAAAAATATAACCTATAAATATTGACAATTCATTTTTAATCAATTATTAAAACCTAAACGGATTATTTAGTTCATAATATGAGATGAAAAGTCTCACTTTGGTCACTATATATATTTCTGCTACATTTGGTTGGAAATTTCCTGAAATGATTTAATTTGGTGACCTTAAGAAGTTTTAGATGCCTGTAACAAAATCTTAACCATAAAAGTAGCGAGCAGAAAAAAGACTGAAATCAATCATTTTTGGAATGATCATACGGGTTATTTTGGGAGGCAGTGACAGTCTGTTTTCTTCTTTGAATAGTCACTGTAACTGTGGCAAGCCTGCAAGGGATCAAATAAACCGTTGCCAATTACACAACCCTACCACAATCTTTTTGAATGATGTTAACAATTTACATTACCAATTTAAATAGTCTTTAAAAGGATAACATTATCTATATTGACTATGGTGATATTATGCTCACATGAAAACCTTGGCTGTAAGGGCTCTCAGAACAAAAAAGACTTAAAGGTCATTGTTTTATCCTTGGTTGATATAAGAACCAATGTGTCTGTCTGACGCTGCAGATTCTGGAAGTTTATGTGTGTGTAAGATCACACCCAAATAAGTACTATAGATAATACCGACTATAATTCTTAGAAAGATTCAAATTTACAGACTTATGACTTATACAGTGAAGATTTACCCCTCACTAATTTATAATGGGATACACCCCATAACCTAGGTGGAGATTAGTTGTTACTGAATATTAACACAGTATCTGCAATTTGAAACTGTTACATAATTTACTGAATTAGCTTGGATGACCGAACCCATTCTAATGTTAGTATGTAATATCTGACCTGACACTCTAAAATGCTGTTTAAAAATTATGTAAACTGAGAAGACTTTAAATTACATTTCACAAAAAAGAAAATATATCTTAAATTACAGAACATGCAAATAAATGAATACTGTCAGTCAGGTTATCTTAATCCCTAATGCCCAGATCTCTGTGGAAGCCCATTTCTGCCTCACGCTGACTGGAAAACTGGCCCCATTCCACAGTGTGGTCATAAAGCCCCAGAGTCTCTTGAGCCTGTGTTTAACCTAAATCTACTGATTTATGAACTCTATCAAAACAAAACAAAACAAAACACTGGGGCCCTAGAGATTCTCTAAAATGTGACTGTAAGGATTAAACTGCTTTCTATTACTACAAGTGCCACAAAGGGACTGACAGAGTCCTTTTGGGCGGGTCTTGTATTGTCTGTTATGATACTGTTGTTATTGTTTTTAAAAGTTGATGTGATTGCTCAACATACTGTGGCTGCCAACCTCATTTCCCAATACAGCAATAATGTTTAATTTGACAAGAGCTACATTACTGATGTAACTTCCATGTGTTCTAGAAACACATGTACAACACACTCTCTCTACACATTGCATCCAAAGTGCATGGGCACACAGATTTGTAGTATGGGTGAGCCCAGTGGGAAGTGTACTCCTTACTATAGGAGAATATTTTAACAATGTGTACTAAAACTACCAGGCTCTTATGGTGTTCTCGGTTCCCCCTTGAAGTTACTCTCCTTTTACACAACATTACACACCTGCAGGTCAGATATGGTGAGTGAGAAGTCTCCCTCTGAGAAGGCTTGATTGCTGATGTTCATCTTCCTCTGGAGGAACAGTGGTCCGTAGCTGCGCTGCTCCCCAGAGGCGTACAGATCCACCAGCCGGTCAGCACGGTCATGGCGGATTCCTGGGGACTGGCGGTCCCAGTGGACTACCTGGAAACCACCAAAGCAGGAAAGGAGTTGCATTTTTCAGTCAATATCACGTAATCCCTCTAAATCAAAAGTAAATCCAGGCTGAGATTGATTGTCTGAGGAAAATAAACTCATGTAGCACACGCACCTGCTGGTCCTCCTCGTCGTTGCTCCAGTCTGTCCACACGTTGCGTCGGTTGATGCAAGGCAGCACCACGGTGCTCCCAAGCAGCACCACATACACCGCCTTTTGTCCATCCCAGAAGCGCTGTTCCTTACGGCCTTTATGGTAAACATGCAAAAAAAAAAAAGACAAACTTTAAAGTCAGCTTTAAAGTTGCTGTGTGTTGAAGATGCTGGTAGTTGGTGAAGTGAGATACATACGTGATTTAGTGACGTTGAGCTGTACTCTGACCGTCTCGTACAGGTGGCAGTAGAGATGGTGGAGGTTACAGGAGTACAGACCTCTGTCGTTCATCGTCACATCTATCATCACATGCAGAAAAGCAAACATAATGATGTTGTTGGGTCAAATAATTGTCACATATGCACTTAAAAGACAATACCAGTGGTTTTGTGTGCTGTTTGCAGAAACTGTGAGCACTAGTTCACCTTCAATCAGTTTATCTGTCAAAATTGCTTGAATGCTGTTGAGCACTGGAACTGCTTTAAAAAAAAATCCTTCTGATTGGTGCATTCAGGTGTTTACGATGCTTTGACAACTACAGTGTGTCAGAATTTCAATGTTTGAACTCAGCTGTTGGAGAGTAAATCATGGCAGAAAAGCAACAAAGCAAATACTATGAATGAATCCTGAAAGCTGATAGATGGAGTTTCCCACATTTCTTGAATGCACCAAGAATTTTTCAAAACAGCAGCGTTTCCCATGTGCTTTATGAAGGAGGGGATCCATCTTGCTTGAAACAAAGCCCACCTTTGCTACCGTCATAGAATTTACACTTCTATTAAATGAAGCATTTACCTTTAAGAATAAAGAGCAAATACACTACTGCACACATTAGATGTTGTCAATTAAAAGAGACTGATCATGAGACAAGATGTGTTTTGTTTTCAACTGTATTTCTGTGGTGGAAATGCAGCTTTTAATAAATAAGGTCAATGTTAACTGATGGATTATGTGTCTCAAGCAAATTTGACTTTCATGCTGGTATGTACAGAAATGAATAGCTACCTGCAGGGTAAAAAAATCAAAAATGTATTGTATGATTTGAAAAGTATAAGAGCTATAAGAGAATAAGAATCAAGGCAAAGTCACAGTGAGACAGGAAAACAAAGTAATGTCAGTCATACTGAGCAGCTAAATTATACCATAGCTACAGACATTAAAGTCAAAGACAGTGAGTGTGACCTTTGATGACCAGGGAGAAGTTTCCATCCCTGAAGGCTGTTTGGGTGATGCCGACTCTACCCAGGTTGTAGGAGTTGTAGATCCTCTGGTCTCCTGCTGAAAACATGTCCACCACCCTCTCCATGGTGTTGTCTGGATGGGCCCGGTACAGGTCCCAGTGGAGCACCCTCTGTCTGTCCCTCACCCTGTCCCTGGTCCACACCATGCGACCGCTCACACACTGCAGCACCACCCTCGACCCAGCTGGGGCGCTTACATTGTAACCTGCCACCACCACACTGCTGCTGCTGTCGGACTGACCTGACACTGAGGGACAGAGAGGGCGTAGATATTCACACAGAGATGTCAAGCATTTACTAAATCCCTTAGGAGAAATGTATAGAAATAAATCACAACTGCACACACACACACACACACACACACACACACACACACACACACACACACACACCGAGGAACATACCTGCAGTGAAGAGGCAGGCCACAGGGACTGAAATAGAAACAGTTGAAAAAGTGAACAGGATAATCACTTGAACAGATCCAGTCAGACCTGAGTGACATTTCCACAACATACCAGTGCATGTTGTGGGTTGTGTTAAAAGTAGCCTTAATTGGAAACTATAGTAGAAAGTATAAGGTATAGTCATTGACTGATATTCATTTCATGCTGCAAAGTAAATGCTTTTCTTACACTGTCCTGATGGTTTAGACACTGACTCAGTAAAACTCATCAGACAGGAATGTGTCTGTGTGCGAGTGAAGCTGAGGTGGACAGATGAAAAGCACTGAGTCTGGTTTTAATATCAGCCTGAAGAAATTCAAATGAATAATATCTGCCTCTACATATCAGCAAATCTACTGAAGTGTGCTCTAAAACTTTTAAATCAGCTTAGCGCCTCCAAAGCCTTTAAACATTAAGATGACTTCGTACGGAAAGGGGTAGAAAAGAAAAAGAGTAAACTTGTAACCAAAGAAAATACTTTTTTTTAATTTAATCACATACTAATGCAGAAGATTACGTCTTGTTTGCAGCATACTTTTAAAAATATAATCTTATGTGTGCATACTCTACAGTAACAACACGCACCTGTAACAAAAGTAAAAACAATGCAGCGGCAACCAAACTTACTGTGGATCAAGAGGAGCGCCTGGAAAATGATGTCCTCCCTCTCGCTCTTCATGTTGACAATTTTAATAACACGGAGACTTGTCAAAGCTGTACACCTGGCAGACGACCCTGAGAGTAAGAGAATACGTATTGTTTATCCATCCGCAACAGCAGCGGGAATGGGTTTGTTCAGATTTCAGAGTCTGAAGAGAGGACATCAACACAGAACCAAAACAGGACAGGACTGAACTGATCCCACCCGGGAAATGAAACCCGACACCACCGGCCTGCATGAACATCCCCTCCTCTCACATCACCCGTAACTTCACTTATTCACTTATCACTGCTCCACATCTCAGGACAGAGATTACTTGATTACAGTGGACGTATATCATTATTACACTGGGCTATTATGTTAGGCCTACAGAACATATAATGCTCTTTAATATCCTACTTACTTCATATTTCACAGCATGTCAAAAGGCAACTGCTGAACTTGATTCCACTTAATAATAATACTGATGATGATGATACTACTACTAGCCTACTACTACTAATAGTAATAATAATAGTAATAATAATAATAATAATAATAATAGCCTAATACTTATAATACTATTACTACTAGGCTACTACGACTTCTAAAAATAATAATAATACAATATTATCTTACATAGGCAAGGGGAACTCGATTCACACATTCAAAACAAATAAATAAAAGTAAAAGAAATATCATAGAAATAATATAGCTTTACTTGGAATACTTGAGAATACTTTTAAGTATGGCCTCCTCCGGTTTTGAATGCAGGACTTTTGAAAGAAAGTTTTGTAGATTGTGGTATTAAAGTATCTGAGTGCTTTTTCGACCAATGCTTGATCTCTGCATGAAATAATACTAATGGGACAGTGCAGAAGGGATAGTAGGCCTATTGCATTTTTGGGCAGGAAGCATACAAAAAGCCATAATATGTCCTTAATCTCCAGCATCATTAGTGTTAGTTTTATTTCAAAAGTACTCACCACATTTAACATATGTCCATATAAGCCACTTTTAAAGGGCTACATTTTGCATTTGAAGTCCAGAAATATCGACAGGTTTCCACTGCTTCTACTGATATTTCTCTTTCTCACTGATGACACTCAGTGGCTGCTTCGCTGTTATTACAGGCACACTCCAACATTATAAAGGCTCGCTTGAATGTGCATGTCGTGATTGACTCTATGTTCTTTTTCTCATGTGATATTATGAAGATGGTTATCAGTGTGGCTATATTACTGCTCTCTTATCTCAAAAGCACGTTCCCATACCGGGAGTCGAACCCGGGCCGCCTGGGTGAAAACCAGGAATCCTAACCGCTAGACCATATGGGACTCCTGTTGATCTTAATTTGACTATCTGTTCATAGAAATGTGCTGTCTTGATTATTTTAAAGTTTATTATTCCATTGTAACTGCATTATTGCACTACCTATCCACTTCAAAATAAATAAATAATGACTAATTCACATGAAACAGTGGCTCAAGAGACAAAACACCACCATTTATAGTAAACCTACAGCTACTGTTTATTGTCAGCTTTACCATTACCATCGAATTTGATACTCCTCGGTATTTTACTTAAAAACATTCACATCTTTAAAATATTTTTCTGTAGACTTTATTACAATAATTGGTCGTATTATGTTAAAACGATAATCACAAAAATACATTACCTTTTTTACTTCATGGCTGTATAACTGGCTGCTAATAAAGTAATGTTTAAAATTAAGTAACTTTGTGGTGATAGCATGTTTACTGACGCTCAGGGATAGCGCTGCACAGCACTGCGGAACCTTTCTCACGATTTGTTGACAACCGGCGCTGTTGGATGTTACACCCCCGACGCTTCCCCTGAAACGAGCGAACTCATTCAAGGGTTTGTAGCTGGAGGTAAACTAGTCTAACAAGTGCAATTATTTAGTTGAACGTCGCTTAAATCCCCATTTACATTCTCTTAAAAGTAGTTAAAATGTCGTAATATGGATGTTGGAGTAATATTAGTCGTTTCTGTGCGGTTGTTTTAGCTTACTGTCAATTAGCCAGCACGCTTGCTCGGTATCGCAGCTAACCCTAGCTAGCTAATCACCCGGTGTCACGGCTAACTTATACTCAAATCCTTGTCCTTTTTCATAATTGCTTAATTTATATAGTTTAGGAATCTTACATACTCCCTCTTCTGTTTTTGCAGGTCCTGTGTAAAACGTTAAAAGATGTTTTTGACAAGATCGGAATATGACAGGTAGGTGCAACTCAAACTGCTTTGTCATTTGTTGAGCGCTTCTCAGTGGGAATGAGCAAACTCAGGAAAGCACACTTATGTTAACAAGTTTCTGTAAGGCTGTTTTCGATTTTGACTGGTCAAAGAAGTTTGGAGGTGCCTTTGTTTGCAACCCTTGTTGTAATTGTTTAGCTGTTTGTTGTAGATAGTTAGCTAGCAGCTAGTCGCTTTCCGACAAGTTAATTTGCTTTCACTTTCGGTATTGCTGTTTTTTTTTTAAATTTAACCTTTATTTAACCAGAAAGCCAAACTGAGATTAAAAATGTGTTTTAGTAATGCTGTTATCAAGAAACTTGTGTGCGCACAAACGCTTTGACTGAAAGTGTTTGTGTGTGTTTGTGTGTGTTGTTGTTTTTTTTTGTTGTTGTTTTTTTGTGGTGACTCTAGACATGCGAAAATACAAACTCAGCATTATGCCAACTACATTTATTGGCATATTGTTTTCCAATGTTGAACTGACAACCGTTAGTAATAATTACTCACATTTGTTTTGCAGAGGTGTGAACACATTCTCTCCTGAAGGAAGATTGTTCCAGGTTGAATATGCCATTGAGGCTATAAAGGTGAGTATTCTATGCTGACTAACATAACTGTCAACCTCTATGTGATATTGTATGCTGAAACTTGAAAACAAGTGTCCCATCTGAAGCTCATATGTTGTCTTTGGTCTGGCCTTGCTCTCCCAGTTGGGCTCCACAGCCATTGGTATCCAGACATCAGAGGGGGTGTGTCTGGCTGTGGAGAAGAGGATCACCTCTCCCCTGATGGAGCCCAACAGCATTGAGAAGATCGTGGAGATTGACAGTCACATTGGTCAGTGGGAACAAAAAAAATAAGAATTCATACCGAAGATTAATGATTGAATATGTACTGTATTTGAGAAAAGTTATTTGCTGGTGTTTTAATCATAAATCCACAACTAATTTGACAGGTAAACAATCAATTCATCATTTTAACTGTATTTGTATATTGGAAAAAGAAAAAAAACCCTAAAGAAAACAAGAATGAGTTTTAACACTTAGCTGTGTTTGTATTGCATGTTTTGTTCACTGAAATGAAAAGCATTGTACACTTACTAAAGCACTAGAGCAAGTGAGAAGCAGAGTAAAATGTAAAATAAACACATAAATGATGGAAAAAACAAGATTAATTTTATAGTGTCATTAGAATTGTTTTAACAATAGCATGGCAATTGATCCAAGAAAAAATATTGCTGAAGAAGAATACTTTGCATAGTAAAACGGACAATCTGAACTGTAGCAGAAACATATTTTGCCCATGTAAAGATCTATTTATAAGAAAAGAGTCATAAAAGGGCACTTCTCATTCTCTTTCTAGATTTCCCCTCTGTGAGGCTTTTGGTGTTGAGCTAATAGAATGGGAAACTTTGTATTTTTTAAAATCTTATCAGAAATTTTCTGGGTGTTCTTTGCCCTGACCAAAAATCTTGAGTGGCATTCATTGTGAGTTAAAATAGTTTTAAATGTGTTTTGGGCAGACCCGTGGGCCTTTTTTTTTTTTTTTTTGGAATAATAGTTGAGCCTACTCATATCGCATGCATGGACAACTTTCTCTTTAGGAAGAAAAGCCTGACCTGTCATGTTATTTAATTTAGGAAATATAGTAACAGTCATATTGCTTGTACCATGTAAGACTGCAAAATTTGATCAGTGGCAATGATTAAACCCACACCTCTTGTATATTAATGTTACCACAGTTGATGTAGTATGACATTACATTTCTATGTTTGACATTGATGATTGTTCGGTTAGGCTACAGCATCTGAAGGTCGTCCGGTTTCTTAATTTTCTTTCTCTCCACCTCAAAGGTTGCGCCATGAGTGGCTTGATAGCTGATGCTAAGACTCTAATTGACAAAGCAAGAGTGGAAACACAGGTATGGCTGCTGAGCACACTGTAATTTAAGCAGTTTACTGACCTTGTGTTTAACCTGAAATTAACCTGTTGATTTTCCTCCTCAGAACCACTGGTTCACTTACAATGAGACAATGACAGTGGAGAGTGTGACTCAGGCTGTGTCCAACCTGGCGCTGCAGTTTGGAGAGGAGGATGCTGATCCCGGTGCCATGGTCAGTCACTCAGATGATCTCTGTTGAAATATTCACTCATTCAAATCTCAAGTCAATGGGATTATTTTTTTTCCAAAAGCATACACATTGATGGTGTCAGTAATGTGGCCTGACCTGTATTCTTCTCTCTCTTCTCTGTTCCTCTGTTCTGGCACTCATAGAGTCGACCATTTGGCGTAGCACTTCTGTTTGGGGGAGTTGATGAAAAAGGACCGCAGCTGTATGTAAAGATTTAATGCACCTTAAATACTTATAACTTCAAATGGTAGAACAATTAACTTTTAAGTCAGACCACTGAGAGACTTAGATCTTATGTTTGTAAATGCAGGTACCACATGGACCCATCAGGAACCTTTGTGCAGTGTGATGCTCGGGCCATCGGCTCAGCGTCTGAGGGAGCACAGAGTTCTCTGCAAGAGGTCTACCACAAGGTATCCACTGCACATTTATAATCACCAGGAAAATTAGCAACGCAAATTGATCTGTTTATAAGCTGCTATCTGATATGCAAGCTGTTAAATTATTGTTTTTTTGCAAAATGCAAAATTGTAGAATTTTCTAAGCTCATATTGGCACAAGTCATCTAAAGTAAAGACATGCAAATCACCAACACTAAAGTGTTGTATCTTTTCGGTTTGTCTCTCTCCCCCTGGGTAACTGACAGTCCATGACATTAAAAGACGCCATCAAGTCGTCTCTCACCATTCTGAAGCAGGTGATGGAGGAGAAGCTCAACGCCACCAATATTGAGGTTTGTTCCTCATTTCTCACTCATGTTCTAAATACTTGATTTTAGTTGATCTTTGTGGACATTTGAGAGGTTGAATTTGTTTATTAAAATGTCCAGTTCAAACCACATCACCAGTGTTAGTTTGACTTTCATTTGAAAAAACTCTTAGCCACAGCAGTTTTAAGTTTGCACAGGGCTATCAGCGTTTAAATCCCCTGTGCTCGGTTCATGAAGGCTTAATCTGTGTCTCTCCTGTAGCTGGCAACAGTAGAGCCTGGAAAGACCTTCCACATGTATTCCAAAGAGGAGCTGGAAGATGTAATCAAGGATATCTAGAGCAGAAAAGACTTGACAGTCTTGGTTTGAGTTCTGGAGAGGAGACGAGAGGACGTGGAGCTACACCTGGGACAAATGTCACAACACAACCACAGTTTTCCATCAGCGCATTCTCCCCCTTGCTGCATTCAGAAGTTTTTGGATTGAATAAGAGGGTTATCTTTGTAATGTGCTAATTTACTTCTCTCTCTCTATCTGTACTGCTCTGTACAGGAGTCTGACCAGCGCTTACTGCTGAGTGGCACAAAAAATGTAGGGGTGGGAGGGTGGGGGTTTTGGGGTATTTTTTTGTTACGAATCAGTACTTCGATTAAACTTGTATTCAGAAAGTGATCTGACTCTGTAGTTTTTGTGTTTCTTGTTTCAAGTATGGTAGTCTAGTATTACCCCCCCACCCTCCCACACACACATTTAGGGTTAATCAATACAGTACTGTGCTTTGTGAACACTTACAGATCACATCACAGTGGCAAAATCATATGATCCAGTGACGACTAAAAAGTAACAGTAACTACTGTCCTATTAAGGATACCTACCAAGATCTATTGTTTAAATGGTGGGTCCTGCAAGTGACCTAAGTTGCATTATGTATCATCCACACCACAGAAATACACAGACACATAGTGTTAAGCAGTTATTTTAGTGTGAAGCCTGTTACAGCTTGCATCCTGCCTTAAATTCTGCAAGTTAGTAGAGGCTGCTGTGTAAACACATATTGAATGATAATATTGTTTATCACAGTTAGTAATATACAATATGTTTTAATACATACAAGTTATTCTTGTTGACAAATACTGTATATTAATAAACACATAAAAATGTCCTTAACCCTACAAACGACTACATGAAAGTCTTTGTTTACTGCTTATAAATAAATAGGAGGACTTAATAAAATGGTCCTTGTATATGACAAAGCCTATCCTTCACTGTGTGTTCTGGTTTTGTTCGGTTTCTTGGAATAATAAACAAATCCAAAAAATATATTTTCCAATAATAAAGAGTTTATCCCTCTCTGCGCGGTCTTTCCACCAGGGGGCAGTTTCACATCAGAAAACATTTGACAACTCTATTGAGGAAGATTCCTGCTGACCAATGAGATTGCAGGTTATTCTGGTCCTGACCAATCCCGTGCCACGGTGGAGGGGCCGTGATTTAAGATGATTTTGGGGATGAGGGGGGCATGTGGAGCCAACTGTTGGGCCAGGCAAGTTTCTTCGCTGAATCCAAAGTTGGGGAGTCTTCTTGTGAACATGTTCTCCGTATTTTGCATTGTGGCGCTCGGGCTGATGTCTGCTGCACGCGGCAGAGATTTGCAAGAGGGAGAAAACCTGTCAGGTTTGAAGAGGCTGCAGAGGGAGTTTGGCAGGGATGAGGAGCCACATAGTTTAGAGAGGTCCGACCTCTCGAAACGCAGCGCAGGACTGAATGGACAGACATGTACAGCTCTGCCTGGAGTAGAGTCAATCCTGCAAAACAACACCCATACTGTAAGTGACTGATTCAAGTGTCTTTCAACCCACAATTAGCTTATTAACCCCTTTTAAGAGGTCAAGTAGTCACTGTGCTCCTGAGTGCTAGCTAAGGCTGGAGCTGACTCACACTTGAGTCAGTGTGGGCACTCAGCAGATGGTGCTACTCTTAGTGTCCACACTGTAAACAACTAACATTTTCATATCACTAATAAATCAAACTTCACTTTTTTGCTCTCCTGTCCAATGCAACGAGGTGATTTCCTGCAGTAGTTTACAGCAGCATGTGATGTGAATCCTGCAGTAACAACTAACCATTAGCTGTATTAAGGTGAAACGATGTGTCGATCAAGCGATTAGTCGGTTTTGGGAGCTGCTTTGACAATCAATGAATTGTTAAAGTCAAATTTTCAAGCAATAATTCCAAACATTTGATGGTTCAATATTTTTCAGCTTTTCTGTTTCTTAAGTTGTAGTAAAATAATTATATTTGGGTTCTCGGCAGTTCCCCAGTTTCCACAAAAAAAAAGCAAATTGATAATTTCATTTTGAGCTCCAGGAGGCTATGACAAACATTTTTCACAATTTTTCTAACGTTCCATAGACCAAACGAAATAAATACTAGTGTTTATATAAGTAGTAAAATTATTGATACTGGAAAATAATAACTAGTCGCAGCCCTAATAAATTCTCTTGTGGTATACTCCAAAACTTTGTTATAAGGGCTGAAAATACTGGCTAATTGTAATTTATTGTGAAGATAATTTTCTCAATTAAATGTCATTTTAAAGGTCTTTAAAATGTTTGGAGAAATTTTTTCAGACTCAAAGGTAACATCTTTAGATAACTTATTTTGTTCCACGGATATTCCAAAACTGAAAGATATGCAATTATTTCCTAACATAGGTGTTTCGTCTATAACATGTAAATAAATTCCATTTACAAAATCTCAATTTGCTTGTTTTGTCTGAACAACAGTACTAAACCTAAAGATATTCAATTTACTATTTTATATAAGAAAATAGCTGAAAAATTCTCACATGTGAGAAGCTGAAACCAGAGAATTTTTGCTTGAAAAATGACTGAAACGATTATAGTTGCCCATTCATTTTTTGTCAGTTAGTTTATTGATTAATCGACTAATCATTGCAGAAAAGTGACTTAAATAATCTATCATGAAAATAGTTTGTGATTTATTTTCTGTCGATTCAGCTCTCTCTGTTCCACTCCTTTTTAATAGACCTGAATTAAGATGAGTCGTCAGTCCAGGTCAGATCCTTTAGGCCTCAAGTTTCTGGGTTATCGTGCTCTGATAGACTAATGATGCAGGAGGGAAATTCACAAACATTTAGTTGTGTTCTTCTTCTGTTTTTCTTGTTTTTTCATAACTGTAATTGATATGAAATAGTGATGTTAACATGCCTCAAAAGTAAATCTGAGTGCTCGTCCAGAACTGTCTAGAAATTCTTTGATGATGACAGCATTTGATAATCCCCCCCATGTCCTTTATCACTTTCAGTCTTTTATCATCCAGACTTTATCCAACAACAGATTGAACAACACCTTGTGTTGTCTTAGTACTGAACATGTTGTAATAAGAAGCACAACAATAACTACCTTGATGTCCAGAGGAATGTTCAAGAATAACAACTTGGTCCAAAGCTACAGAGAGCTCCAAAGGACAGTTTTCCAATTTGTGTGTGTGTGTGTGTGTGTGGGTGTGGGTGTATTAGTGGTGGAAGAAGTGAATGTTACATCATTTCTGTGGCTCAGACACCTGGACTAGCTTCTGAGCATGAAAGCGATTTGGCCTGCTCACAGACAGCAGACTCCTCCTGTCCCCTCTGGGCCTTTCTCCCTTAAAAACATTCCCTTCGTTTTTTTTTTGTTTTTTTTTTGGTCTGCTGAACTTGATCTGAGCCCCTGTGTGGACTTAAAGTCTGACTTTCCTATTATTAAACAATCAGACGAGATAGTGTGAGCATATGATCAGAAGCATAAACGCTGCTGTGTAAATTAGCAGATCCAACAAGTCTAACCTCCTCTGCCTCTTATGCTATTTTAGGCCTAATAGACTACACAGGAAGCGTTTTGTCAACCAGCCAGGCTTTGCCTCATTTTACCTTTTTTTTTGTATGTTTGTGTGAGGTTAGTTGAGCTGACTCTGTGTACAAACTCGCTTGTTGTTTCTTTTTTTTTTTCTCTCTCTCTCTTCTCTTGAGTCCATCCCTGTCCTCTGTCCCCTCTGGCCAAAAACACGTGAAGAAAAAACATGCTCTTCTTTCAGGGTGAAACGTAGCTGGGTCACAGCCAGCTGTTGGAGCACCAGGAAAACCAGCAGAGTTGATGTTCCACACGGTGAGAGAGAGACAGAGAGAGAGAGAGAGAGAGGGATAGAGACAGAAAGAGAGAGTTATGGAAAGTCTGGGTTTGTTGATAAACAGGGAAAAACATCCAATGAGATCAACAAATTAGTGAAAATAGAGAAGCACTTGAACATGTCTCAAGTGTTTTATCAAGCAAACAATTCCAAAGCTTTGCTGTTTCCAGCCTCTCAAATGTGAGGATTTGCTTCTCTGTATCAGTGTAGATGGTAGATTGAATTAGTTTGGATTATAGGATATCTAGCTGTTGAGATATTTCAGTCTTAAACAAAGTGGTGGACCCTAGAGCCAAATATCAAAATTGTTGCGGGCCAATTTTTTGTCCATCCACCAATTGATTAAGTGACGTATCATTTCAGCTCTATATTGAACTTGTGATTTCTAACATTTTATAGACTTAATCAAAAATGAATCGGCATGGTTAGCTGAAGTCCTCCACTTCTCTTCTGTTGTGGTTTCCCTGAACAATAATAATTGAATGGACATTAATACAACCCAGCTTATGTCCCTGGTAAGCTTAGGCCAGCATCAGAGGAGTGGTCTACACAGCTTTGTGATTTAGATCAGAGTGTGAGTGTTTGACCTCCTCTTCTGAAGTTTTATGTGCGTAAACATGGCTGAAGCACAAAGGTTAAAACCCGGAGCAGAGGGTATAAGGAGCTCATTGTGTTGGCGTCTGACCTCTGAGAGAGGACTTCACTGTGTGCATTACTGAGTCTGCATATGTCTGTGTCTGTTCATGTACAGCATCACTATTAAAAGTTGAATGCACCGACACCCCTTGAATGTCACAGCGTCATGAGTTGAGCTGCACGGGGAGATTAAAGATGCCTTTTCAGAGCAGATGTGGACCCTCAAATTCAGCATGTGATACAGCATGAGGTCATGTCTGGTTTGTGAGACCACGTCCAACCGGGTCAGACATTTATCTCTCTTCCTTTTTTTCCTTCTGACTAATATATGTCTTTTCTTACCGTCTCCTTCTACCTTTCTGTTATCCCCATCACAGAACAGGACAGGTTAATCTTAAGATTTACATAAACTCTCTCATTTCTCAAGCATTAATCCAAGGGATCTTGATCTGAGTGCCTCCATTCATATAAAAAAAAGCAAGTTTTCACTCAGACACTGCTTTTTCAGCCTTCGTGTCAGTCGGCTGACCTGCTTTATAATGCAGTTGTTGATTGTTTGGGTTTCAGTCCCACTGAACTGTAGCCAGTCAAGTCAGCATTTTGTCCAGTCCAGGTTTCAGGGGAACAGATGTAGAAAACACCCCGCTGGTTAAATTTAACACAGGTGTACAAGCAACTGGCAGAAACATTTGCAAAGGCCTGATCCTGAGACAAGACACAACATGAAACCTGTTGACCTGCAGTGACCTCGGTGGCAAATTTCAAAATCAGTATT